ACCTTTTTACAACAAAGCCGCATTTCGTAAAGTTTTATGCACATTCTTCAGTCAGCAGATTGGCCTAAACTGCATACTGGCTTCTGCTGGAGATCTGAGGCTGGTTGCCAATACACTAAAAAGTGCAAATATTGGCCCAATATTATCGGTCGATATAGTTTTAAAGGCCCCATATTACACAAAACTGACTCTTGTGAGGTCTAAATCATATTATACAGTAATGTAATCTCCTCAAAACATACCTCGTTGTGTTTTGTTTCATTCACACATATTTGACTAAACCCTTTATTATAAGTCTGTCTGTTCCACCTTGTCATGTCATAAAGTGGTAGTTTTCATTCACAGCTACCGTTTACCTTTTGTTCAGTAGAGACTGACAATTCCAGGGCTGAAATCATCCAAATAACTCCAGTGAAGGTGTATGGTGTTTAAAAACACAGTGGAGCATTTCCTGTTTTACCACATGACATGACAAGACAGAGTGTTTTCAGTTTAATATGCAGGGTTTGTGTGTTAAATATGTGTGAATGAAACAAAACACACTCAACATTATGACATAGATTAGTAGTCTGAATATGACTTGTAAACTCTAACCAGAAAAATCCCACTGGTTCTACATAATCAGTCCCAGGCGTTCTCGCTGTGATGCTGGGATTTATAAGCGCAACGCCACCATGACACTGATGGATTCTTCCCCAAAAGCATGCAGACCTCAGGCATCGCTGCATTGTGATTACAGCCAAAGGACAACTTGTTTTGCATACAAATCAGTGCTGTGTCCTTAACCGACACTTTCAACTTTGATTCAAAATGATATGCATGTACTTAAAGCTCCATTTGTAAGAGTTATCTAAAAAACTTGAGCTGTGACAATCTGTAATCTTCACTTATAAAGCACTTTCACTGAGGCGTAAACTCTGATGTAGCAGTGATGGTACTTCTGCATAATTTCCAAAAATACAGTCACAACAAAGCTGAATAGAGTATGTTAACACGCAGTGAAGCAGATACTCAGAGTTCAGAAGTCAACAGTGCTTTTGTTGCAATTTTAAAGTAGCCCAAAAAATCCCATGAATACCACACACTTTTAGTTTAAAAGTACCGTATTTTTTGGACTATAATTTGCTCCGGAGCATAAGTCGCACCAGCCAAAAAAAGCATAATGAAGAAGAAAAAAACATATAAAATTCACACCGGGCTATCAGTCACACTTTTTGGGGGGAATTTATTTTATAAAATCAGAGACCAGGAACCGACATTTCATCTTGAAACGCAATTTATAGTAATAACAATAGAACAGAGAACAACAGGCTGAATAGGCGTCTGGTATGTTAACGTAATATATGAACAGTTATTCGAATAACTAGAGCATAAACAACAGAAAATAACAAGTTTACCAAACTTCATCTCACTCCAAATCACTAAATCCACTGAATTGTTCATCCTCAGTGTCACTTCTGAGGAACTCCGCAACTTCCGGGGGTAAAAAGAGCGCCGCTTCCTCTTCTGTGTAGCTGTCGTCAGACTCAGCATCAGTTCCAATTAGTCCAGTCTTTCTGAATCCTGACAGGATGGTTTCGGTTGTCACTGAAGACCAGGCTTTGTTGATCCATCCAGTGACTTCCAGGAAAGTTACATGGCGCACCCTCCCAGTTGCCATGAAGCTGTGTTCTCCATCCCCGTTTTTCCCCAGTCCCTCACAAGTTTCTCGCTCACTCAAAACTTTCTTTCTGCTGCTCGATTACAGTTTTTTCCTGAATATTTCACTATTTGCAGCAGGACAGCGGCTCTTTCTGCAGGCGACATGCGCAGTAGAGCGCGAAGTGACAGTGGTACAGGAGTAGCAGGACCAGCAGATACTGACACACAAGGCTAGAGCGCCCTCTCGCGACTGTCAGTGTGAAAATTTCGCAACGGAGTATCAGTCGCAGGACCACCCAAACCATGAAAAAAGTGTGACTTAAAGTCCAAAAAATACGGTACACATCTGGCTAATTGAACCAGTGAAAATCAGTATCAAAATTTGCAGTTAAATAATGTTAATAAACTCAACTATTTACTAAATAAACGGCAAAACTCAAACTTGAATTAAGCTGGGCATCTCACAACATGGACTGGGTGGTTCCATTACAACACTTCAACACAGAAATATTTTTAACCACAAACTTTTATAATAATGGTACTTCTCTGGCTTCTACTCCTAATCCATTTTACCTCTAAAATTGTCTGCTCCATACTTCTTGAAGTAGGTTTTTGTGCACTTTCTGTATTTTGTGTATTTTTTAAGTCCACTTCACCATGAGGCTTTAGTTCAGGTTCAAGTCCTGGTTTAGTCCTGGCTCAGTTCTTCGCAAATATGCAGTTAAGGGCCTTGTTTATCTTATTTAATGTAGTTTATAGTCCAGGTTCAGTCCGGGTTCAGTCCAGGGTCAGTCCAGGTTCAGTCCAGGTTCAGTCCAGGTTCAGTCCAGGTTCAGTCCAGGTTCAGTCCTTTGCAATTATTTAATGTCATAGTCATCAGTACATAATTTCAACTTTGTTAAGAGTTGTTTTAGTACTGGTTCAGTCGTTTGTTAGTCCTTGCTATTGCCCCATGGGTTTCTTCTGGTTTATTCCTGGTTTATTCCTGGTTTATTCCCGGTTTATTCCCGGTTTATTCCCGGTTTATTCCCGGTTTAGTCCCGGTTTAGTCCCGGTTTAGTCCCGGTTTACTCCCGGTTTACTCCCGGTTTACTCCCGGTTTATTCTTGGTTTATTCTTGGTTTATTCTTGGTTTATCCTGGTTAGTCCTGGTTTAGTCCTGGGTTTAGTCCTGGGTTTAGTCCTGGTTTAGTCCTGGTTTAGTCCTGGTTTAGTCCTGGTTTAGTCCTGGTTCAGTCTTTCTTCAGTCCTTGCTATTCGCTTTGAGGTTAGTCCTGCTTTAGACCTGGTTAAGTGCTGGTTTAGTCCTCTGCAAATACAAGGTTAGGATCTAAGCGTGGCTCCTTTAATGTCAAAGTCATCAGCGCATAATTGCAAGTCTGTTAAAGTTGTTCTAGTCCTAGTTCAGTCTCACTTTAGTCCTTGCTTTTCATCCTGGTTTAGTCCTTGGGTTAGCCTTGGAGTTAGCCCTAGTTAAGTCCTTTGCAAATACACAGTTAGGATCTCAGTATGGCTCCTTTAATGTCAAAGTCATCAGTGCATAATTTTCCAGTCTGACTGTGACTGGGCCTCCCTCAGCTCTGGAGTTACCATGTCCTGAGGCAAATCATCTGAGCACAATACAACCAACCCTCTGCACAACATCACACAATTTAGTATCCACAACCACTTGATCATTTCAGGACTGGTGCTCTGACATGAACCGAGTTTTTCCTGACGTTTTTTGTTAAAGAAACCTTAACTCCCATAAGCAGACTTCTCAATCTACACACCGACCCTGTGACCAGACAAGTCTATTTCCAAACACGTCAATCAGAGGTGAGCCATGCATGAAGCGCACATGTAAGCACACACAAACACACACACACAAACATACATGCTCCCAGCACTGAGAGACCCCACGCTCTCTCACAGCATGGCTAAACAGCGCCCCCCGCAGGTCAAATGTGGCACTGAAGCCCCAAACAACAGAATGGTTTAATTAAAAAGAGAGTAATGAGTACAAATAAGAATATGGTTGAAGTAGGGTTGTCAAAAGTACAGAAAATCAGATACTAAACGATACTAAAATGTCAAAACTAGATACTCACATTCACAGGATAGAATTTATTACAAGTTATGAATAGCTATAGAATGATCTTGGGCTGTATCAGAACAAGTATAAGACCACATAGACTAGAGTATGCCCATGCACCACTATGGAAACAACAGGAAACATCGTAATACAGTACTATTATTTAAAAATTATATTCTATTGTCTAAATAAAGAGTTTTATATGATCTTTGAGGTATTGGAATCTGTATTGAGTATAGAATCTATAACTTACTATGGAAAAAGAGTTTGAAATTTTAATATTGAGACAAAACTAGCTTGTACTAGGACATACAAAGCATACAAATTATAAAAAGCATACACACGGCATCATTTTACAGATTGAATACACTAGTAGGGCTGCAGAATTAACTGTGATCAAATAAAAATCATAGTATGAAAATTGTATATCAGCAAAAGCTTGAATCCTTTGCAAAGAACAAAATCTTGCTTTTTTTAGAAGAGTAGTGTTGTTGTAGCTGAAGTTCAGACCTCTTTGAAATGCATGAGATTCTTGTATTTGTTTTATCAGTTCATTTCAATCGTCTTTCAAATGTTATTGCTCCTGGAGTTTACAAAGTGCTCTCTGAACAGAATCCTACTTTTTAAACACAACGCAAATCTTATCACATTTGCAATGCTTGTGAAATCAAATGGCAATTAGATTATTTTCCAAAACTGTCCAAGTGATTTGTTGCAGTGCATACCAAAACAACTGGAACAAAAATGTTTAGAATCATTGTTCTTTGTCAACTCAAACCCAAATAGTTATTCTTTGGGCTTCATTGGTGGACTGTAAAATGAAAGATACATGCCTACATTCCTACCACAATCCATACAACTACACAACAAGCACAGACTGTATATATAAGGGGGCATACCTAACGCACAAGACATCTTCTTAAAAATATGAAGTGAGCTTGAGTGCAAAGTTGTTCCTTGGACCATTGGGTATCTTGATGAGGGAGCGTACACCTCATTTCAGGCTTGGGATGCAGTCCTGGAGAAGGCGTCAAACAGTAGGGGACAAGACGCAACACTGCACTTTCACGTGGCGCTTTTGAGGAAGGCCACATAGAGGAAGTAGCCGAAATATGTAGAGCAGCTAAACAAACTCTCCTGTCTGCCAAAAGAATCACTAATTCTAAATATCCTCAACATAATTTCTTTAATATTCTTGACCCAGAAGAAGTTTCATCTCATATAAATTTATTTACAACAATTTAAATGTAATAATGAATTCATGTTGTAAATTTTTTTGACTTACCTCCTGGAAGAGCCTCCTGTCCGGGGCCAGGCACTTGGAGGCCAGGGTCTTGGTGACGTGGTAGAAGGTGAGCAGAGCACGGTGCTGCTGGAGGCTGTCCTGACCTTTCACTGACTCCAGGAGGATGGGGATGAGCTCGGGCCAGTGCCGTGGGCAGTCCAGGCGCGCAACCTTAGCTATCAGCACGGCGATCTGTGTGGCTATCTGTCAGAACATATAGACGCACATACATTTGGATATCACTTATTTAATACTATAATCTCAACATATGCATCTCACTAGGCCTGTCATGATAATAAATATATCGACTTATTGTTCAGCAGATGAAAGCTGTAACAATATTCCAGCAAAATAGAGTTGGTTCAATTCAATCTACAATCCAAAAGAAGTAAGGGAAGAATCATGGCTGACATATTTTATTTGAACAGGAAATAACAAAGAACAATTGCATTATGTAACACATAAATTGCTAAATATATTTAGGAACTGCCTCACTTAAAGTAAAATGTGAAATGTCTAGACTGAAAAGGACAGTTAGCACCCCAGAGGTAAAACAATTTTTAAGAAGAATGCTTTTTGTTCTTCTCCCGATTAGTGACAGCCTGAATTATTCACAAAGAAAAGCTGAGTTTGGGCTGACGACTTGTGTTTTAGATAATAGATTCCTTTACAGTCCATTTTGTATTCAGCACAAAGATTCTTCTGGTAAATGTTTGATGAAAATATACATTCAGCGTGCATTTTAAAAATAGTTATCTTAAAAAACTGTTAAATTATTCATTAGCATGTACTCCATACTAAAAAGAGGCTATGGAAGAGAATTGCTCAGGCCTCAGAGGAGACAAATTATGTAACATCCACTTGTTATAATGGGTCTCCCACATCATTGAGTTACTGGGGACTGTTTTTTGAGTACAGCTGTGGGTTACAACGAACAAAATGGCCAAATACCAGGCAAAAGCATACAAGGTCCTCTTTAAACAGAAATGTTAAAATGAAACTAGAGATTACGTTAACCATAATGATGTTAACCATTATTTAAGTAAGGCAGTCTGATTGTAACAGTGAAAATCAAACAGCCTGCAAACTTCAAATATCACCGAAATTCAGCTCTGACTTCTGTCTTGTTCTCTTCTGTCATTTTGGACCTGAGACTCAACTAAAACTGGTCTTTCACCAAAGTGCCCGGCCCTGCCTGCACTCAGCCGGCGCACACACACAACCCAAAGTGACAGCTCATTTGTCGAGAGGCGCACTACAGAAACTCAGATGCAGATTCATAAAAGCGCTGAATGTTGCCCTGATTAACTATGTCTAACTTTAAAGAGGAGGGGTATTATGCAAATTTACTTTTTTATACCATGTTATTACGTTATCCCCTCATCAAAAGTTTGAAGGGGTTTTATAAGTGTTTGAATAAATTAGCGATCTCTTCTACGCCCTGTTTAAATCCTCCTTACGGTCAGCAGTATGGTTAGGATTTTCAAAACAATAAAAGGTAAAATGGTGATCTAAACATGTTATGTATTAGAAGTTAATAGCCCATAGAAACCAGCTGTATGCTACATGGACTTATGGTATGATGTAAGTCACAGTAACTGAACCAAAATCAGAATAACATTATTATTTCAAGCAAAACCAATGAACTTTAAAGGCTCACTATGTAACTTTTACTTCCACCAACTGCCTGCCTGTCTCCATGCAGATATAATTTTTTTGCCAAGAATTTTTCAGTCAGGCATTAAATCTTGTCTTAGTTTATCTCTGTGTTTTTACTGCTAAAAATGCCTCTTCACAGAGCTGACTTCTTAACTCCATCGTCAAAAGTTCACAGGCAAAGCAATAACAACACCATGAGAACAAGAGGTGGCTGAATCTTCATCAGAAAAGTTACATAGTGCAGCTTTAAAAGAATCCCCGGCTACTTGGACATGCTGGTCTTATATGAGTAGCGTTGGCATCAGTTATAAATACGTAATACCAAAAAATCTAAAATATGTTCGTTTGTAGTATTTTTTAGATTAAAAAAGGAGAAAATACAATCAATAGTAGTTCACCATATTTGTTTACGTCGCAAAGCATTCTGGGTAAAGGGTTGTTGTCTTCTGTCGCCGTGTTCAACTTGTGCTTAAGCTTCGTTTTGGACTAAAACAGGACTAAACCTGGACTGAACCAGGATTAAAACAGGACTAAACCTGGACTGAACCAGGACTAAAACAGGACTAAACCTGGACTGGACCAGAGGGACTAAACCAGGACTGAACCAGGACTAAAACAGTACTAAACCTGGATTGAACCAGGACTAAAACACGACTGAACTAGGATTGAACCAGGACTAAAACAGGACTAAACCTGGACTGAACCAGGACTACAATAGGACTAAACCAAGACTGAAATAGGACTGAAACAGGACTAAACCAGGACTAATCTAGGAGGGCCCGGAGGTGTGCCCGCGTAGACTGTCAGGTGACCGCAGGCGAAAGGACCAGCTCAGAGCTAAGAGCAGTTGCCACCAATGCTTTACTACAGAGAAATGTTATTACTTTGTCTGCAATGTTTTCACAGTATGGTATTAAACCTTTCTATCTTCATGGAGACCAAACCAGACCAGAAGTTACAAGTCAGACCTGTGGAGAGGCAACCCCACTCCCAGTCAGAATCCTAGACTGTATAAATGAACAACTAACTAACTAACATGCTAGCCATCACGTCCCAAATAAGAAGTTTGCATACAGGTGCTTCTGGCTCCTACTGACCCCGGCTCCCATTGACTTACATTGGGATATTGTTGGCCCTCTCTCTGTAACTGCTGCAGTGAGCCTCATCATTTTGGTCTTAAAATGTTCGTATTAACCCACTCTAAATGATCCTGGGGTCTTTATTTCACTATTTAAAAAATCAATTTCATAATATAGAGCCTGACTCCAAATTCGAGCTTCATTAGAGTGAAGCCGTCAAGCCACACGTTATGGGGGATGTCACACTCGCTTAGTCCACGTCTTTATACAGTCTAAGATCAGAATGCCTATTTTTCTTGGTATTTTTAAGCAAGAAACCCCCTGTAATTGAATAAATGTAAGGTAGAGCTGTTTAATGTCATACTGTGTAACATTCCAGGCAGAGCAATGACAGACCCTCACCCAGAAAAGTTACACAATGCACCTTTAAGTAGAGTGATGTGAAGCCTTTCTCTGCATGAAGTGTCGAGCATTGGGAGTAAACTCCCCACTAGCTTGAACCCGCAGGGATGAGGCGGGAAGTATTTAAATGTGTTTGGAGCTGGCCATATGGAGTCTATTAGAGCCCCTCCTGTGGGAAATATAAACTGTACAAATCAGGATGGATTGCCACAGCATTCCAGGTCCCTTCAGACAAAATGTATTACACGCCAATTGATTCCTGAATTTTTCACTCACTGACATTCCCTCATGGGAATTGTGGAAACCAGGGCAAATGAAAGAAATACTTTGGTTAACTCAAAACATAAGGATTGGTGGATTGGTAAGTGAAAGATCTGAGAATGTCTTATTTATTTTGTATGTTGTTGGGCAATGCTAACGGGCAGTTCAACTCAGAGATTCTTGGATCCCATGGGTGCAAAGCATATTCAGTCCATATAAAAATGCTGCAACTAATTATGCTTTTAGGAACCAACTAGTAAGTGATATTTATTATTTGTACATTATTGTTCAGTTAAGCGACTGGTAAAATTATCATTTAAATTGTATTGTATTAAATTTGACTTTTTTGTTTGTTTGTTGTTTTTTTTTTGTTAAAAACTTCTCCCATTCTGATTCATTTATGATAATGTCTTTATTTTTAAAAAAAAACTTTCTCCTCATAATACAAACAATAATTATTTAGTGGTCAATTATTTCAGTAGTCAATTAATAAGACGTAATAGCTCACTAATGTAACTTTTCTGGTGGAGGGTCCACCAACTGCTGGAGTGGACTCCATGAAGATGTTATTGTTTTTCCAAAAAGTGTTTCAAAATACGGCACAGGTGGATGCCACCAGGTCAAGGTAAGGAGCAGATCTGAGGAGATGCGACCTCACTCACAGTAAGAATGTGTGTTTTTCAAAGTATTTTTTGAGAAATAAAAACTATAATCAGGTACTTGATGTTTGGGGGTGTCGTACCTTTTTTTCTGTCTTGCAGTTTTTGTAGCAAAATATAAAAAATGATTTTAAAAAAACAAACTGTAAAGAAAGCGGTCTACAAACATTACAAACTTTTTGTGTAACTGTTTTCATTTGAGACATTTTAACCTGCCCTGTGGTGTGACCTCTCCTGTCTGTGCTGGACATTCACTATAAATGTTCAAAATATTCTAATGAATTAGTTGATACGTCTGTTGGTTTAAAAATGATATAACTGTCCCATCTTAAAAAATATTGTTTTAAGAATTAAAACTGTGTTTTTCTAAGGAAATATTCCTGTCACACCACATGCTGAAAATCTTTCACTTAAGTTAAGTACCCAATCTGTTGTTTAATGCCAAACTGTAGAATATTCGAGGCAAAGCAGTAGCATTTCTTTGGAAATAAGCACCCAGCATCAGAAAAGCTGCACAGTGCATTTGACAAAGTAATTAACACCATCATATACACTTCTATGAGCATAAAATATAATGCACAAAACTGTATACTTTACTGACCTGATTGACTGGTTCGTTGAAGTTTGTGATGAGCCCGGCGCGTAATGATGTCTTCTCCTCCTCTGACAACGCACTGCAAAAACAAGCCAATCAAAAAGAACCTCCATTAACAAGTAGGTCAGGGGGAGAGTGGGGACACGGACAGCAAATTTGGTGAGAGCAGTCAGGCTAATAAATTGTTCAGAAGACAGACAGGAAAAGAGACTGTAGTGTAGCTGTATATTGTGTGATCCCTGGGACAAGTATTTCCAACATATTTTTCTGCACTTTTGTGTTAAAGGGCCCATATTACACCATTTTCTGGTCAATGTTATAATATTGTTTCCTCATCAAAAACATACCTGGAGTTCTGTTTGTATCATTCACAGATTTTTAACACAGACATGCTGCATATTTAGACATCTTTACACTCTGTTCCACCTTGTGATGTCATGTGTTAATATGGGAAGAGCTCTACTGTGTTTTAAACTCCATACAAATTCACTAGAATCATTTGGATGAGTTTAACTTGAAAACTACCACTACATGACATCACAAGATGGAAAAGAATATTGTGAGTTTTAGAGACGTGGACAGACTAATAAACCAGGATTGCTCAAACATGTGAATGAAACAAAACACAATTAGATTAATGCTTTTAATAACAGAGAAAACAACATTATAACAACATTATAACATGACTTAAAGCTCACAAGTCAAATTTGTGTAATACAGAACCTTTAAATTGTCCATTCCATTCACTTCTTGTGCAATACTTGAATCTCCACTATAACTTACATGCAAACTTTGGAACATTTCTGGTGGATTGGCTGGATAAGTTTATTTGGACCAGGATATTGGCTGAACCAGTATCTTGGTTGAGCCAAATAACTGCTGTAATAAGATTATTTACTGGCAGAAGTTGACTAAAAATGTCTCAAGGTTTAACACCTTAACCTTAATTTTTCATAGCCGTTCTGTTACTTAAAAGTACCATCTGATTTTTTCACCAGAACATGGCAGATACGAAACCTGTTCTCCCTTCACCTGGCCTTTATTGTGCTCTCTGGTCTTCTTCTGTCACACTATCAAACTGCAGTAATGTAGACAACATCGAGTGGTGATATGTCAGAATACAACCTAATCTAATTATAGATGTAGCTTTAAACAAATATGCATTGAGACCCACACGTTATTTTCCAGCTTCATCAATCCCCATGCTGGGAGGTACTTGGTAATAGTACTAAAGCAATTTCAGGCTGAAATTCTTAGAACGAGTCTGGTGATGATTTCTGGACTTAAAACAGGACAGCGTTTCTACCTTTGACGTCACAATCCTGAGAAAATTCAAACCCAACTAAAAACTTAATCAAAAGACATGGTCTGATTGTTATTGTTGTTGCTGTTGTAACCAGGCAAATCCAAAAAATTACTGACATATTTAGTTCAACATTGCCTATCCCACTTGGCATTGTAAAGCCCCTTGCCATTTTCGGTAAACAAAGATATAAATAACTTAATCACGGTATTAATGGAATCTGTATAACAACAACACGGGCTAGCAGATGGCAGGTCTGATCAGTAAGCCCTGGATAACACACATCCTTCTCATATTGTCTTTTCTGCTACATGACAAGACTCTACAAATCTGCAACAGAGGAGTGACGCGCACAGCCATGCTTCAATAAAATTTACTCCAGCGCAGCAGCGATGAGTGGGTGAGAGCGTGAAGGGGGAAAAGTGAAGGATGAATCATGTCTATGTCCCTGGGCGAAAGAGAGAGAAAAAGGAGGGACAGAGGAATTAGCGAAACAAGATTATTTTGGGTATCTGGCACAGGAAGGCTTTGAAATGAAGAAATGGTTTAAAGGGCCCATATTACACTATTATCTGATCCATGTTACAATGTTGTTTCTTATCAAAAACAAGATTTGTTTTATTCACACATGTTTAACACACACACCCTGCAAGTTCTTCTCTCAGACTGAAAACACTGTTCCACTTTGTGATGTCATGTGGCAATAGAGAGTGCTCCACTGTGTTTTTAAACTCCATACACCTTCACTAGAACCATTTGGATAATTTCAGTCTTGGAATTGCCAATAGCTACTGAATAAAAGGTAAAAGGTAGCTGTTAACTTGAAAACTAAAGTGTTGTTATATCACAAGATGGAAAAAAGCATTTTGAGCTTTGAAGATGTAGACAGACTAATAACAAAGAGTGTTTCCCTCAGAAAATTGGTTAGACAAGGCGGGGGGGATGATGACCATGACAGTTTTGCAAGGATTCACATGATTTGGAGGGACGTAGTCAAGGCGGGGGCCACTTAAAGTGCTACGGGCACACAGATAAAGGATTACTCTGTGATGGAAATTTATATTGTCGAAAGATTTCTCTCAATCTGTCTTTGTGTAAATGAATGTGATTTCTACCCAAGACCCAGACCATTTGCATGTGTAAAGGCTCAGCAGACACAACTGTCCCCACCGTACAGGAAACTGTGGGTCGTCTTAGCTAGAGGTGCACAAAAATATCAAAATATCAGGATATGGTATCATTTAATGTGATAATACAGTATTGATATTGTGGGCTGCTGTATCGATATATCGCCAAGAGTATTTTTTGGTATATTTTACTAAATTCTTTTGTTACTGCGCAACAGTTTTGTTGTTTGTTCAAAGGAAGGAAACGTTTATGCAACACATTTGACATATTCACTGTTTTGATGAGTAAAATGAGTGTGTTTCATATGAACTTTGCACAAGAAGTGGTTTAAGAAAGACTTTTAGTATCACAGCCATCATTTAGCCTTTATTTTTTATTGAACTGTATTGAATTGATTTGAAATATATACCGAACCGAAAGTGCACTGTATCGAGATATGTATCATATCATGGCCTATGCATTAAGGTATGTATCATATAGATTACTTCTTAATGATGCCTAGCCCTAGTCTTAGCTGGCCTCAAATGTATTTGTTAATTTAGTACAGGCTCTGAAACAAAAGTCACTCTGCTTTGATATGTAAGTAACTTGTATTTCTGTAAAAAATACTCAGGGCTCAAATGCTCTGGGACAGAGACTGGGGTCTAATGTTGTAGGGACAGACTGTTGGTGAGGATGTTGGTCTCTGGCCAGGGCAGGATTAAGTCCTGTCCATATCTGCTGTAAGAAGAGTAAACTTTGGTCTGTATGCCAAAAACTCATTGGGCCTCGCAAATGTATTAATTATTTATCATCAAGAGATATATAATTTTTTCCACAACAACTCAGACATGTGTGAATGACCAAAACATTACTAAAAGCTCAATTCTGCAAAATATAGGACCTTTTAACTCACTCAAGCCTTGAATGCAACTAAATGCATGATAACTCAAATGAGCATGAATGAACGGTTAATGGTTAAAGCTCTAAAAAGTGAAGTTTACATAATACTGACCTTTTAAGTTAAGGATTTTGATGAGGGAACAAAATGATAAACAAAATGATGACCTAAACTAAAATATTGCGCGCGGCTTAAATATTGTTATGAAAAAACGGTTCAAATCATTAGGAGAACTACGTCAGCTATCCTTTCTTAACTGTGCTAGCTGGGTGTAATTGGATTTGAGGTGTCACGACCCTGTTTCCTGATTATTTGAAGCGTTATTTGAAGTCTTGAGCGCTGGTGGAAAATTGTGGATTTAAGCATTTAATTAACAAATGGAAACAGTCCGTGAAATGCCAAGAATGTTGTATCCTATTCGCACAAATGTTGCCTTGTTGCATTTTCAGACTTAATTTTTTTATTTTTCCCGCAAAATCTGCCTCGTCATCATCTCTATAGGTTGTTAGGCTCATTGTTTGGTGAGGTGATATGCTGTTTTTGGATATTTAGAGTCTAATTTGTGGAACACTTAATGCATTCAGTTCAGGGTTTGTGCAATAAGGTTTTCCCTCATATAGAGCAATCATCATTTTTGAATCAATTTCTATTATTTTCTTACTTTTTTTTTTTTTAAACAAATAAAAAGAAGCTCAACAGTCAGCAAATGCTCAAGTAAATTTTCAATAAAATTTTCAGAAAATGTAAATACAGTATTAAGAGTACAATGGCATAGTGAAGGCTAACCAGCTACACTCCAACTAATATCCATGATGAAGTCCAAAAAGCACAAAGATACAAAAATAAGATTCAAATACAAGATACTACAAAATGCTTTAGAAACTTAGCGGTTTATAACATTTCAGAAACAGATTTTAAATAAAATTATAGGTCTTTTAGGCACAAGATCGAGCAAAATAAAATATTGGCCTGTGTTGGAGATTAAAAACTGATGATAAAACGTTAAAAAGTTCGAATATCTGCCCAGAATATCGGCCAAATGATATATAAGTCTATCTCTAGTAGGGGTGTGCAAAAATATCAAAATATCGATAAATTGTATCGTTTAATGTGAAGATACAGTATCGATATCGTGGGCTGCTGTATCGATATATCGCCAAGAGTATTTTATGGTATATTTTACTAAATTATTTTGTTACAGCGCTACAGTTTTGTTGCTTGTTTGGAGAAAGGGAAGTTTTTTTTATGCGACACATTTGACATTTTCACTTTTTTGACAATTAAAATGTTTTTGTTTCATATTCACCGGACACAAGAAGTGGTTTAACAAAGACTTAGTATCACAGCCATTTATTTTTAATTGAACCGTATTAAATCGATTTGAAATATATCGTATTGAATCGTATCGAATCAAAAGCTCACTGTATCGAGATATGTATCATATCGTGGCCTATGTATTGAGGTATGTATCGTATCGGCAACTTATTAATGATACCCAGCCCTAATCTCTAGTAGATATATCAGTTTATCTCTAGTATAAAGAAGTGAACTAAGCAAGTGTGACGTCACCCACAGCGTTCAGCTCCACTCAAATGAAGCTCGAGATGCTAACGGTTACAGGAGAGAATTTTAAGCCAGGCTCTATATTAGTGGATGAAAAACACCAGGATCATGTAGAGCAGATTAATATGAACATTTTAAGACCAAAAGCCCCACAGCAGCAGTTACAGACAGAGCGGTCACAATATTTCAATGCAAGTCAATGGGAGCCAGGGTCAGAAAGCGACGGAAGAGCCCAAATGTGAACTTCCTATTTGGCGCGCTAGTTAAGTCCATTTATATATACGGTCTATGGTAGCAGCGAAGCATTTTTACATAATATCGGAGAGAAGAGCAGTACTGAGTTGTATCCTTTGGCAAACCCAACAGCATAAGCCAGATCACATACAGTATGAAGACCTCCACTGGGATCACACTGAGGACACTTTGTAGACACTAATGAGGAGAGGGCGCCTCGTCACAAACCCACTACAACATTATGCACCTCCCAGCACAGTGCAGGAGTACGAGCAACAGATCCTTGTTTTGAGAACCCTGCAGGCAGTTCATCAGTAAAGCCCAGGAGGAGGAGGATGTTTTTAATTACAACTGGCACTTAAAAGGCCCATATTACACTATTTTCTGATCTGTAATAATGTTTCTTCATCAAAAACATACCCAGAGTTTTGTTTTTTTTTCATTCACACATGTTTAACACAAAACTCCTGCATATTTAGGCTGAGGTAGTCTCTCAAACAGAAAACACACTGTTCCACCTCGTGATGTCATGTGGTAATAGAAGAAGTGATCCACTCCATACACCTTCACTACAATCATTTGGATAATTTCAACCTTCGAACTTTCTATCTCTACCATATAACTTCAAAACCACTGCTTCATGACATAACAAGGTGGAACCAGGCATTTTGAGCTTTAGAAATGTAAACAGACATGGCTTAAAGTTGCTCAGTTTAAAGCAAGATTCAATTTTGCTTAATACTGGACTTTTACAAATCTCACAAAGCTTATGAATAATCAGTGCCCAAACCTGCAGAATAACACAATAACTCCATAGGGAATGGAAAATATCCTGACAGCACACGGACTTAATTACACATTTCTAAGAGAGCTGGATACAGTTTGTGCCTCTTCTTATGAAATCCTACTAGTTAATTTAATTGATTTGACATGTCTTACAAGCACAATATTAAAAAGTGAAACAATATTTCACTGCTACACTGTTAAATTATGATTTCACTAGACTATTTATATAATCAGCTGTCAGTTCAGGAGGATTTTAGCAGGTCAATTTAAACCTAACATAACAGTGTGTCCCTTCTCCACTTGAGTTTGCATTTCAGAGGCGACTCTCCAGGAAACAGCATTTCAGAAGCTTGTCATCGTTTGGACAATATTATGCTAATCTATGCAAGCATGAACTAGTGGTGTCCTAAAAGCCTATGAAGGCTGAATTTATTTCACACTGGGAGGAAATGTTAAAACATCCAGACATGACTCTATGCAAAACAGACTGCAACAATCCAATCCTGTATTACACTGATCCTTTTGGGAAAATAAAGGCACAGCTTAGAACATGGTATTATCATAAAAAGGTATAGTGCTATAAATACAGGTAAAAAAGCAAAGGTCCAACTGTGAAATAATGAAATTGCCAATTACCTTTAACGGCACCCTTTCAGTCTGAGAAAGGCTAAACTCATTAATTTTATGTGGAATAAAACAGGATATTTTGTTGTTTGTTGAGAAAATTATGGTACTTATGGTACTACAACGTTTGCTATTCGGTTTTTACAGTAATTCAAATTCTAATTTCAATTCAATTTTGATTAATCTTGCAGCCGTAATTGTTAGTTTCACTGTGAAATAATGAAATTGCCAACTACTTTATACGGTAACCTTTCAGTGTGAGAAAGGCTAAGCTCATTAACTTCAGATTAATCACAAAATGTCCTCTGTATTAAACCGGAGAAAAGAAAACAGGTGAAAAGGCCAGTTATTTTGCTGACGTCTGAGTGACGAACGTTTATAGAAAATGGCCATTAAAAGAAATACTTTTCAGACGTTTTAAAGGTTCTGTGAACTTTAAGTCTTGTTAGAATGTTGTTACTTTTTCAAAACTTATCTGGACTTGTGGTTTGTCTCATTCGCGCATGTTTGAGTAATTCTTTATTATTAGTCTGTTTACATCTCTAAAGCTCAAAATACTCTGTTCCACCTTGTGATGTCACGAAGCAATAGTTTTGTGAACGAAGCAATAGTTTTGTTAACAGTTACCTTTTAAATTTTGTTCAGTAGAGATTAGCAATGATCCAAAAGATTGTAAGGTGTATGGAGTTGAAAAAGTAGAGCACCACTGTGTAAACTCCGTACACCACACATGAACAAAATGGATTTAAATCAACACATTTTCAGGAGCCTGTGATCAATACAAGCGTCCATGGTCCTGTTTAGGTGTTTGATTTTCATCAAAATGTGACTGTTGGCTAATGTAAAACAGTAAAAATCAGATAATCTGTTGTAGTTCCACCTACATCAACTCTTGATTAAAGTCTAACAAAGCCTCAAACAGAGCAGAGCCTACAGTTAGCATCACACCCCCAGGGAATATGAATGACATTAGCTGCATATTATCAATAACTGGAAACTGAAACCCGTGACGAGGTCTGTGGAAGGATCCAAACTTGAGCTCAAACACAGTGAAGTTTTCTGAAACAGTCAGAGAGGCTAAAGGTGGGACTGGTGACCCGAGGCAGTGTCTCTGAGAAAGTCATTCCATTCAAATTCCACAAAAGATCCAGAGAGCCAAAGACCTCACAGACAGTATATGAAAGAAGTAAAGTGAATATAAAGTAGTCTTGTCCATGGGGCTGAATAATTTTTGAAATACATCCAACTGTGATTGCAATTGTGATTACATTTGCAATTTATGATTTCAAATGAATATTAAGTTCAGAGAGCACATTTTAAACTTGTCCAAGAACATTTGAGAACAGACTGAAATAAACTGAATTCAGAACTTCGAGAGATCTAAGTGATAGCAGGTTTATTTCTACTTAATAATGATACAGTATTTTGTTGTTTGCCATCGTTGCAGTTTGATAAGTGTGACATTGTCACAGTCCAATTGCCTTCCGCCTTAGTTATTTTATTCTGTGCAAAGAAAAGTTCCTCCATTAACAAATGTTTGGTCGGCACAAGTCAGATGATTCTCACCAGAATGTACTTACTGACAAAGTCCTACGAATCTAATGCTTTTCTAATAGTAAATGCCAACAGTGGAGTCAGCAGAGAAATTTAAAAAATTATAAATTAATAAAATATATTAATAAAATATACAGCTGCAGCAACTTATTGGATTGAGTGTGACTAATTATTGATTATCTATAACAGAGGTCTTCAACAGGGGGTACTGCAGGCAGGTCACAAAATCTTTGGTTGATTCTGGTGAACTGATTTTCAGTGGGTTCTGGATGTGCGCTCGTTTATCACATCTGTCTGTCTCTCTCTTCATTCCCTCGTCTCTCGCTCCCTGTCAAACTGCAAACACGTAGGCCCAGATTTTATCGTGTCCGCACATACTACCATGCATTGGGAAGAGGTCAGGCAACTTCATTACCAAGGCGTATTAACCAGGCTCCGCTCTCCGCCTTCTCTCTGTCCACAGAGTGACCAGAAGAGGAGGAGAAGAACAGGAGAGGAGGACGGAGTCATGTCTTTCATTTCGCTCCTCAGATCAGAATGACCGGAAAAGTTCAGCGTCCCAAATCTAACTCTTGTCCGTGCGCATTGTGCACTCTCTCATTTAATCAGATCATTAAAAGAAGTCACGCTTTGAGTTCATTTTAATCACAAAGTGCAGCTTAAACTTCAGGCCGGAATTATTTCTGTCATGAGGCTTAAACTGGAGACATTCAGCTCAGAATTTCAGAATAAGCCAGGACTTGTTGAGCGACTTTGATGAAATATTCCTCTAGTATTGAGCGTACAATAACAGAGTAGTTATGTTTATACATGACACTAGGCTCAATTTAATATAAAACACAATTGTATGCTATATATATAGTAGGGTGGTCCCTGCTCCAGCTCTCCATCAGTTTGGGGTTCCGAAGCCTGAAAAACGTTGATCTATACTTTATACTCTAACCAGTGATCTATAGTTGGCATATTTGACCAGAAACATGTTAAAATAAATAATAATAATAAAAGAAAAAGCTTAAGGTGTGGTAGAAATATAGTAATTGTCAAATAATCAAAAAAAAAAAAAGACAACCTGTTGCAGCCTTAGTAAAATCATTGTATTAGATATGCCAGGTTATTTCTTTGACAAGAAACAACAACAGGTCAGATCTGTGGAGAGGCTACCATCCTCACAGTAATGAGTGTTTTTCAAGGACTGTTTACTTGTTATTGTAAAATGCAAGATTTAATGCCATTCCAGTCAAAATGAAAAACATGGTTACATTAGGCACCTTTAACTTTTAAATAAACATATGTTCAGAAATGGAATTAATCTGGCAACTACACGAAAAGTCTAAATTGCAACCAGGAAGTATGAAATGCATTTTTGCAACTTCAATACTTCAAAATCCCCCAAAGTAAATGTGTCTACAACTGTGCAAAAATAACACTGTAAAACCTGGAGAAGCCTGGGGGAGATTAGCACTGATGAATGGATAGAGTAGACAAAGGCGGAGGAAAACAAGCATTAGGAGTGAAAGAGCTGATACAGAAATCCTGAAATATGAAGAGAGCCAGTGTGGATGCTACTCACTGCGGCGCAACCCTCCTCCAGTATCTGTCAATCCCGTTTTTGAAGTACAGCACCGCCAGCCACCTCACATTCACGTCCAGCATGTGGTTGTTGACGATGTTCTGTGGAAAAGGGAGAGCAGGTTAGTGTACGACTATTTTAATTATAAAGAATTAGGGGTTGGCCTGTCACGATAATTAATATACTAACTGTTTAATATATGAAAGCTGGAACAATACTTTAATAAATTTACTGATTGGATTTATATTGCGCCTTTCAAGACACTCAAAGCCCTTTACAGAGCATCCCCAGAATATTTTTTGGGGTCAGTATTTATCGGATATATTTTGTTTGCACGACTGAGAAATTTGGGGTTATTTTTTGGCTATATGATAATATTTAAGTCGTAAAAGACTGAATTTATAACTTCTCATTACAGATACAAACTTATACAGATACAAACTAAGAACTGAAAAGTTTCATTCTGCCATTTATTGATTTCAGCTCTTTTTTTTTTTTATATTGTACATTTAGAATAGTTTTAGAGGTTTAAATCTTGCTCTTGACAACATTTACTCCAGGGCCCGGTCAAGCAGTAAACAGCAAGGCCAAAAATTCAAGTTAATGCATCTGATATAAAAATGTATTCAACAGATACATATGTACTCTAGTTTATGAAACTGTTTATCTTTTTTCTGTACCATTTTTGGTTCTAAGGTTACATATGTTTTAAACAGACCATGTATGCAACATGGAACAAAAATTATTTCCAAAATTTCAAAGATCTGCAAATCATGTAAATAAATTGATGTGTTTCATCATATCTTGTGTTATTCGATCTTTGAACTGTTGATGAAGGTACATGATTTAAAAAAAAAAAAATTATGTAAAATGATAAAAATTAGCTTGGAAGGACTGACATATTTTATAGAAATAATTACCTTTCATTTTGAAGTAATATTAAAGTATTCGGAAGAAAAAAGCTGACAAATTATGCAAAATCATGCACCTTCTACTTGCTTGCACAATTTTCCCTCCATTACTTTTCCCTCCGTTACTATGACCTTTCTTAATAAAAAATATCATTACTCAAAAAGTAAGAGGTTTTTCAACCTAATCTTGTACTATATGGTAGAAAACTATATTAAGCAAATATTCAAACCAGTTTGTTAAGGATATGTAAGTGAGAACCGCTAGTTATCACTGTTTGTATTTATTGCCCCAAAAGTGCTGCATATTTCATTCCCTCTGTTACCGACATGAGTTTTTAAATTTTTTGTTAACAACTTGAAAGAATATCGCAGGGTTAACTTTACCCTGTTGGAGTGTTAACTCTTTCCTACATTCTGATACCTTACTTATTTCAATAGTCCCTCTAGTTTCTGAATAAGAGCTATTTGAATGTAAAAATCTGCCCCCGTTTCCCTCCGTTACAGCTTGACCGGACCCTCCAGCAGTATATCGCACTTTATCGTGTTATGGGGTAGGGAATAAATAAATAGCCTACACGTTACAGGATAAGCACAATAAAATCAAGCGCTTTATCTCAGAATTAGAAGTTTTATTGCCATTGTTATCTTTAATACAATAGTAAAACAAAGGTGTGGTTGCGCTCACCAGTTAAAGAGTCTTTACCTAATGTTGTTCCATGTATTGGGGCAAATATCTATGCAGTACAAGCAGATTTTAAGTTCTGTCTGTTTCCAGTCATGAAGCATTTTACTGACTCATCAGCAAGTGCCCTGCTAGAATGCTAACTGTTGCCAACTCAGCTCTCATCTCTAAAAGGTGTGACACAATCTTATAATAAACTCATCACAGTGAATAATTAGAACGCTCAGAATGCATAAGGTAAGTGAGGAATAGCTTTGGAGCATTGTAAATTGTTTTATAACGAAGTAGTTCTCTTTTCCCATTTTATAATACCGTAAAAATCAGGTACAGAGCCTTTAATATCAAATTTTTCAGAAGTATCCTGGTAACAATAATGAGAAGACGTTTTCGTAATCCATCAGAAGTGTTTCATCAAATGTATTAGTTTAGGTTTAAAAGCTCTACATAACTCCACAGATATGTTATAGCTTTGACTGGAATGTCCCCTAATAAGAGTTTAAACGCATCTATCTCCATGGAGACAAGCAAATGTTGTTGCCAAGTTACAGGTCAGATCTGTGGCCAAGTTATATTTAGTTGTGTGGAGTATTGCCATAACCTGAAAGTACATTCAAAGTCATTGGGTAACTTAAAGCAATATAGAGGGCTACAGTAATAGAGGAGATGGAAATCTTGGCACGTACAATCATTTTCAGATGATAGAAACTCCATTTTAATAGATACGAGTTTCATTTAGAGACATTAAGTACGTAGCAGAATTTCAATGTAATAGGCTGAAGTATTATGAGCCTGAACTTGAAGTTGTTAATAAGCGCACTAGATGAGCTAAGGTACTTTAGATTTATAATATAGTCATAAATACTAGTTATAAATAAAACACACAAAAAAATAATTTAAAATGAATTACACTTGTAGCCTGTCAAAGAGGGAAGTGCCATCATAGGCTGGTTTTCAGAAAGGATGACCTTGCAGACAACAGGGGTTAGGTTTTCATCAAATTAAAATTAACTGAGTGTGAAACTTTAGAACATGGTGAACTGGAGTTTGTAATATTTTGTACAAAAGCATAATAATTAATTTGTAATTTTTTATTAAAGAAAGAACATTTCAGGGTTCACTTAACTTTATTTTACATTTTTTAACAATGAGAAACGAAATTAAACAGCACTTTAGTTATAGGAACGCATGAAACTTAACCTGGAAAATGTGGGGCAAATATTTGTCTTATCAACGTAAATTCCTAGTTTTCAATAATTAATACACTTTAGACTTTGTTACTTCTTCAAAAACATACCTGGAATTTAGTTTTGCTTCAATAATCAGTCATCCTGCATTACTGAGTTGTCTACATGCCGAAAGCTTAAAATGCTCTGATCTACCTTGTGATGTCATGAAGCAGTTTTTGAGTTATTATTATTATTTATTTACCTCTCAGTTCCAGGGCAGAAATTATCCAAATGTTTCTAATGAAGGTGTACGGAGTTTACACAATGGATCGCTTCCTGTACCATGTGACATCACAAAGTGGAACAGTGCTTTCTGTTTGAGAAAAGAACTCCTAAACGCCTAAATATGCAACATTTGTGTGTTAAACATGAAGCAAAACACAACTCTAGGTTTGTTTGTGACGCAGAAACAACATTATAACATACATCAGAAAAAAGCTTAATGTGGGCCCTTCAAATTAAAGATGTGATGCTGCTAAAATTGTCGAAACCTGAAAAGATCAAAGCCAAAATTTGTGTTTTTATGAATTTGAGTGAAGTTGAAGTGCTGATGCTCCTCCGTCTCCATGGATACTCTATGACGACCAATAATTATCTGATTAGGCAACAACACAGCTGTACACAAAACCAGAGCACCTGCAACTGACCATTTTCATCAGCTCACCTTTTAGAAATACACAAACATGGCCCTGAATGCGCTTTGATTAAAGAGAATATCACAAAACGCAATTAAGCCACTGGTGACATTTTCAGACAGAACAAGTGCAGATGCAAATTTTAACACAATCTCACCAGACAAATGACTTGGTTGGAACTACAACAAGTGAGATGATTTGTATGTTTAAAAATACAGTTTTTTTCAGACAAGTCACACTTTTTTCATGGTTTGGGTGGTCCTGCAACTTATACTCCGGTGCGACATATATTAAAATGTTCACAATGACAGCCTCAAGAGGGCGCTCTAGGCTTGTGTGCCAGTATCTGCTTCTCCTTTTACTCCTGTACAGCTGTCACTTCACTCTACTGCACATGTCTCCTGCAGAAAGAGCCTCTGTCCTGTCTGTATCATGTCAGTCGATCGCACCATTACTTCTGTACCACTGAAAATTTTAAATTTAAACAAACTTGTAAAGACAAATGAGAAGACTGAACACAAATGCCCCCCCAAAAAAAATCATATTTTGCAGATTACAAGCTGCAAATAGTGAAATATGCAGCTGAAAAAGCTAATCGAGCAGCAGAAAGAAAGTTTGGAGTGAGCAAGAGACTTGTGACACAGGCAGCGTGCACCATACAACTTTCCTGGAAGTCACTGGATGGATTGACAAAGCTTGGACTTCAGTGACAACAGAAACAATCCTGTCAGGATTCAGAAAGGCCGGAATAATTCTAACTGGAACTGATGTTGAGTCTGACAACAGCTACACAGAAAAGGAAGAGGCGCTCCGTTTACCTCATGGATCTATGGTTTATCTCCGGAGGTCGCAAAGTTGCTCAGAAATGACACAGAGGATGAAGAATTTAATGGATTTAGTGATTTGGAGTGAGATGGAGAGTTTGGTAAACTTGTTCTGTTGTTTATGCTATAGTTTTTTGAATAACTGTTCATATGTTGCGTTAACATCTGGTTGTTCTCTGTTCCATTGTTATTACTATAACTTGCCTTTCAAAATGAAATGTCGGTTCCTGGTCACTGATTTTATAAAATAAATTTCCCCTAAAAGTACGACTTACAGTCCGGTGCAACTTGCCTGGTGTGACTTATAATCCGAAAAATAGGGTATATAAAATTACAATCACAAGCTACATAGCATTAGCCAATATTTTTTCAGTTAGTCAGTCACCTTCTTCATAGAAAATACATAATTCCTTACATCATACTAATACATTAAATGTCTTCTGTATGTATCTAAAATGTAGAAAGCAGTACAAATAAAGAAAAACAGTGAGAGCTACTTTAATATTATAGTATTATTAATGACGTACTGCGTTTTATGAATTACTTTCCATTAGAGGTCGCCTTTAGCTAAAAACTGTAATTTTTTTGTAAAAGATGAATGTGTTTATACATGCTCCCAGACGAACAATAAACTAAACAAAGCAAATGTCATTCTATTGTATTGCAAAGATCAATACAAGATATGTAGTGGGGGCTAGAGAGGGCTCTGGAAATGGGCAAAACCAGATGTGAATGAAATGTCAAAGGTTCACAGCTGAATTAATGTACAAATGCTTGAGTATTATTTCAATAAAAATCAATTCAATAAACGGCCAGCCATTCTTTTAAATTATACATGTATTTGCTCTCCTTCCTCTGAAAGAGGTTTGGGGCTAATCTTAATGCACAGTTATTTTTTACATCAGGAGGTTGTGTTTTGGCAAGAAGAGATGGGGAGATTTTGATGATACGTTCAAAACATGCGAGATTGATGCTTTTGTCTGGGGAGAAAACAAGCCTGGCTGGATAGGGCTAAGAAAGAATGACAATAGGCTCAAGAGGTGAGAGAGAAATGGACAATATTGTTTGGGAGGGATGTAAAATTTGGAATTTAAGGTCCCATATTTTCTTATCTATATAATTTCGTCCATACACCTTCACTACAATCATATGGATAATTTCAGGCTTGGAACTGCCTCTCTAGTACACAAAAGGTAAAAAGTAGCTGTTAACTTAAAAACTACCACTACACAGCATTTTGATCTTTGGTGGTGTAGACAGATTAATAATAAAGGGTACTCAAAGATGTGACTGTCAATTTTGCATAATATCCATTAAGTATAAAGTCTATGATTAAGAAAAAAACTATAGGGAAACCCATTAAGAGGTGTTATTTTAAGTTGCCGTAGGAATTCTGCACTTTTGTATATTATCTGAACCCCAACCAGGACATTTATCGCACAAACATCTGATGGATCGCCATAATATTTAGATATTTCTTAACGTCAATATTGCCGCTCCAAAAACGCTCTAAGATTTGTTGTGATGCCAGATGTAACCATATTATGTGATTGTGAAATACTGTGGCAATTACGTTGAAAAAAATGACAGAAAATGGTCCATAAGACATATGTTTGCAGACCGTACCATCAGTGCAGAGTTTGTGCATTTGGTTAAGCTCGAATGTGACGCCATATTTTTCTTCCAGACTCAAAAATTTTATTCAACATCGTTTTTTGCATTGTAGAGAATTGTAAATTGATAAGTTTAATGCCTTTTATAATTCCATAAATGTGTAATTTCTGAGCTGAAAAGATTATTCGATGAAACCCCTTTCTTATTTCTTTTTTTTTTTTTTTTATAATCTACGTTACATTGTATGGTCGATATCTGCTATATTGTTTTATGGAAAAACTCAATAAAGATATATATATTTGTAAAAAGCTAAGTTTAATGCCATACTGTGGAACATTCTAATCAAAGCAATAAAATCTCCAAAGACACAAGCAGAAGGCACAGCCAGAAAAGTTATATTGAGTAAATGAATAATATGCACTTTATCATTCACTTCAGTAATGCAAATGCCATCGCGAATATGCTTATGTCATACCTACTTAAAGTATTATAGTATTATATTATAAGACACAAGTTTTATTATATAATACTATAAGTCATATATACACTTTTATCCAGTACTTGCTGATTACACATTGGTCACGCTAAAACTGCATTCAGCATTTTAAGTGCAATGACAATAAACTGAATCTGGAAAAAAAAAAAATCTTAACTTTCCATAACAAATTAAACATTTAAATAATTAAAACTGTCTGAGCACTAAAAATACACTTTCTAAAGCAGGATGTAGGTGGTGTGTGTGCTATAAGCTGTGTGTGATTGTGTAATCGGTCCCTCACCAGGAGCACAGAGTAGAAGCCAGGCTGCGTCTCCCACTGCCTCAGCTGCTCCTCGGCTGGCTTCAGCACCGCCGTGTCCTGACTGGTGGCCTGGGTCAGGGCCTGGAGCACCACTGAGCTGGCACTGTCCATGTCCATGTCTGGGGATATCTGCAGCAAACACACATTTCATACAGAGGTTTATATAAAGGGGAAAGTTGTGCCCAAGTGCAACCAGCTGCAGTTTCAAGCACAAAACAAAGAGAAAACACTGTGAGCTCAACTACAAACTACCTTTAGAAATATTGTCAGACAAATAAACCTTTTTGCATTGTCTGTATCCCTTTTTGCCAGAGGTGCATACTAATCAGTCCCGTTCACTTGAGTAACTTTTTAAAGAAATTCTACTTTCCAGACAACTTTTCTAGTGAGTTCTTTAACTTCTACTTGTGTAAAATATTTACTGAAGTGCTCTTACTTGAGTACTTTTCCCACTGTGAGTAAGTCTAAGTGACAAAAGGTTTATGTTGACCATATGAAATGATTTGTGTTTTTTGGACCATAACTTCAAATATGATTTAGTTTAGTTTTTTCTTGTGTCTATCTTTGCAAATAGCAGATGTTGCACATTTATTCATGTTTTGCCTTCAAATTACTTTAACTTTAAATTATAATTCAGATGTTACCTTCCAAGATTTTTTGACACTTACCTGAGTCATTTCTTGGACCATTACTTTGTACTTGTACTTGAGTAATAACATTTTTGAAAGTAACGGTACTCTTACATGTCTGGTACTCTAACCACCTCTGCTTTTCACATTTTTATTCTACGTTATGAAATCTTTAACTGCTGTTTCGAGAAATTAAAAGAAAAATATTAACTGCTGTTGAATCAATCATGGCTCCTGTCTCATCCTGGTTTTCTAATGAGACAATTACCCGACTTAATGACTGGTAGTGTGACAGAAAACCTGAACCTCCTTAACTCACAAAGACCAAAGATTGTGTATTTTTATGAAGAAGTTTATATAAAGAGGAAACTTATACCAGAGTGAAACTGGCTGCAAAACAGTTTCAAACACAAAACAAGAAGAAAACACTGACTGAGAGCTCAACTACAAATTTGCTTAAAAAGAAAAGTCAGGTAAATAAACCTTTTTGCTTTGTCTGTTTCCACTTTTTGCCATTTTTATTCTAGATCAAGGAGCTCTGAAATCACTGACAGTGCTGAGCAGAAAGCAGCAAATACTCTAAATAAAGCAGGTCACAGCTGACACCGGGTGTAGTCATGTTGCAGACCAAGGAGCCGTTTCGCAGGTGCAAAAGGTGTTTCTGTTTCTCACAAACAAAAAGCACAGGCGCTAATACAAAGAGCTGGAGTCCTCACTGCAGCAATGAGCCCAATAGAGGCTTTAGAACAGAATTTAAAGGGCCCATATTACTCTATTTTCTGATCTATTTTATTACTCAAACCTGTGTGAATTAATCAAAACACAAGTCCGTGTATGTTTTTGATGAGGTAACAAGATTATAACATGGCTTAAACCCCACAAGAAGCCATTTGTTGTAACATAACACCTTTAACACAATATATTTAAATCAACATGTCATCCTTTATTGTTTTGAAAATCCAATATTAGCCAAAAACAGTGTATTAAAATGTCTCTGCTCCCCCTGCTCCCCGCTCTGAGTCACGCAGTCTTCAGAGTGCTATCACAATAAAAACTGCGTACATTCCTAACTGTGTATAACAAAATGACATCCGTATTGGTCAGTGGTCACGTTGGTGGTGATGCACTGAAGTTTACAATAAACATACCAAAAATATCTTAATACATTATGGAAGAAAATAATTTTTTTTAAAAACATAATGTGCTTCGTAATCATGGACAAATAAAGAGTTTTCAAAACTCCTAGTTACTAAATTCATAGTTCTAGGCACGACACATTTAGCCTAACTGATGGTTCAAGAAATTAAAGAAGAGTATTAACATTACAAATGAATTAAGATGTTTAATCAATTATGACTCCTGTCTCATCCTGGCTTACTAATGAGACAATTATTTGACTTAATGATGGTAGTCTGACAGCAAACCTGAACCTGAAATAGGTTACGCAGCCCAAAGATTACATAAGGCTGCCACCTAGAGGCCGTCTACTGCAACGTTTCACTTGATAATCCTATACAGATGAGATTTAGGACAGAGATGAATGAACTCTTGTCACACAACTGAGATGAATTTGTTTAATAAACAACTCATAAATAATTTATTCTAGAGCTCAAATACAAGGGTGCTACATGTCCTGTGTGGAGAGCTTGTCACGGTCTACTATAAACAAGAAGGCGGCTTTTGGTTACTAGAATCGACTCAAAAATATAAAGAATGTCAGAATAATATAACAAGTAATGTACACTTTACAGATGAGAGATGAAAAGGTGGGTTTTAGACACCGCTTGTGATCATTATCACAAACATGAACATGTAGCTTATAGCTTCTTTAACTTAGAGACATATAAGAGGATTATATTAATAAATGAGCCAGAAAAATTTGCATGACCCTGGGGTGACAGCGGCTCAGGCAGTTGATGTTGTCAAGATTCTCTGGGGGTGTGAAGCTAAATGAAAGCACTGCTCTGTTACAAGTTCTGTTACACAAGTTAAGACTTAATCTGATCTTTATTTTAACACCATCTGACCATAAAGGGCTGATGTAGCAAGACTGTCACATGTAAAATTACTGTCACAAGCTAGCTAGCAGTTTTTCAATTAGTCCCTCTCACCTTTGTTGAACTCCTAAACAGGACCATGAACACTTGAATGGATCACAGGCTCCTCAAATGTGTTATATAAATCCATTTTGTATTTTGTTTGACATACCTAACACGATAGCCGCCACATGCCACATAGGAAGTTTGCATGTGGCTCTTCCGGCTCCTACTGACCCTGGCTGCCATCAACATACACTGGAATATTGTGGCCCCTCTCAGTGTAACTGCTGCTGTCAGACTCATAATTTTGGTCTTAAAATACTCGTATTAAACCGCTTTACATGATCCTGTTTTTTTTTTTGGCTATTTTGTCCATCAAGAAAATTCTCTTCCTAATATAATAAATTCTCCCCTGTAAGTGCACACACACTCGCTTTGTCAAGTTTTTCATAGTCTATGATTCTGTCACCAAAGTTCCCACTCTTTTTCAGTGATACTAACATTCCATGACTTTTCCAGGATTTCCAGGACTGTGGGAATCCTGTGTCATAATGTGAACTGCTGAACTTTCCATCAATAGAGATACATGTAGAACACCACGAGCGTGATGACACTGCGAAGTATGAATAGCGAGAAGGTCACTGGGTAGACTACAGACGATTACAGCAACTCTGTGTCCAACAGTCAAGACACTTCGGTCCACTCATTTTTGCGAAGTGTGTAGTTAACGTTTGGTGGTGCCCGAAGAGGCAGCTGGGCCAATTTGACACAGTCCGCCCTGGGCAGTTGTGTTACAAGTGAATGAGCTGAACTGCTTTGGGAAGTTATTACTGTTAATAATAGTGGGCCATTATAATCTTAGTACACGCCTGCATACCAATTGAGAAATGAGTGACTACTTTAATTACGAGTCAAAGGTTTGGACACAGAAGCATACAGTACACACAGAAGACATCAGATATATGAAGTAAGATATATGGAATTATGTAGGAAAGTAAAGGTAAATAACTATAATATTTTTCGACAAAGCTACTTTGATTACTTTGAGGATTTCAGTGTGTCCCATAGTTTGTGAAGATTATGGTGGCACAAAGTCTCTCATAGAAGTTTATAATACAAAAACAACAGCAAAAAAGTACAATTTTGCTATGACAAGATATAGTTCAGTATATTTTAGGCTGGGCCACCACAGCCTCCTGTATTAATAGGTTATTAATAGGAAACACTGGGATTGGAATATAAAATATAAAAAAATAAGTTTAAGTTAAGAGTCATTTAAGGGTTTTTTTCTTTGCTACATAATTCCATATACCTCACTTCATATATTTGATGTGTTCTGTATGTCAAAAGTAGAAACTTATCAGAATAAAAAAAAATTGGATGAATGAGATGTTGTGTCCAAAGTTTTGACTGGTGGTGTATGTTGTGGTCAAACAATTGTAGAGATTCGGGGTAAGATGGACACAGTGAGATCATAACGTTTGCCATTTCTCATGATGTGATGTAATTGTAACATGTACCAGCTCCTGCCCCCCACTTGGGAGAGGACATCATTTTGGGGGGGCACAGTCTGCCCAGAAAGAGTTGACTGAACTACAACAGTTGAGCTGATTTGTGCGCTTATAAAAAGTCACAATCTAGCTAGTCTGCATTGATTCTCCTGGTTACTAATGAGTATTCCACCATAGAAACACATAAAAGTACACCCCTGAGTGTGAATTCACTGCCAACTATCAATAGAAAATATGCTACCATCACATTATACACAATATCAGCTGCACAAGTGAAGGCATTAGCAATTATCAGTCTGATTATGAAGTATGCGACCTTCATCTACTTCCATATTACTTGTGTAAAACATCCATTTGTATTCAATGCTTATAATATCCGAAACATGAGGCTCTTACAACGAGGTTACAACTAGCATGGCCTAAACTGAACTGCTACCATTAGCTGCATGTCAGATATTGGCAGAGTAGAGATGACAGCAGGACAACATCTTACCATGTCATAAACAACTAGTGAAATACTGCTGCTAATGCAGATGACAGCACCCTGGACATGTCTACTAAAGTCGTCTATTTTATCAATTTGGACCGGAATATCCTACGGGTAACTCAGGATCAGACATCCACTCGAAACAGCCAAAGACGCTGACTGGTTTCTGTACATTTAACTTTAAGAAAATGTCATAATGGCCTGTAATAAACTGTGTATTTCATGTAAAAGCAGGTCATCAGGGAGGTAACATTACCACAAGATTACAGCAAGAGATACGTTTTAGTTGGAGTAGCATTTCCACAGACAGTGCGGTCTGTCGCACAGTGTATGCATGCCGTGCATTGAGTAAAATAACACACTCTGGACATGCACTAGATGCTCGTCAACAGCGCTAACTTTGAGCTAGCTCGTAAGCTAAAGTAAAAGCAGAGTAGCATGGCCGACACAGTGGTGTTACTTATAAATTGTGCCTATCTTGAATAAATCTTATATTCTGTCCCAGAAGAGAGGTTAAACCCGACTCACCTAAGAGCCGGGGCAGATATAAGTTTGTGAAAAGCTCTGCCAATGGTTTGCAATGGGAGATGAAAACACGCTTGGAGGAATGGCGCGTGCACTACAACGGGCGCACACTGATGACGTGTTTCCACGAAAAATCTGTTAAGTTCAATTTAGTGTAAAAAAAAAAAAAAAGTATTTAATAAATAATGCATGTAAACCATGCTTACAAAAATAAACACTAGATTCAATTTTAAAAAAGACTAAAAAAGAAAAGTAAGCTGTCGTACAGCAAAAAACTGCATGCAGTCAAATAATATACCTGCCCCGATCAAAATATTTACCTTCGTGCTCCGGTAATATGCAAGGCAGGTGAAGGCGGATGAAGGCGAAAAAAGGCAATTGCAGCTGCCTTCACCCACTTTCATGGCCTGCAAAGCCCAGAGGCATAATGGGAAATGCAGTGCTGTCAGTCACATGTAATCACGGCTGACTGACAGCTGATTAGACCAGTCTGGACCATTCATCTACTTTTATATCAATACACATGCTTCAAGTGAGACAGAAAGGGGTCAGGGGGTCGTACAACACAAACACATGAGTATAGTATATGGTCTTGATGAGCTAAAAGTTATCCACAGATCAGGATAAAGTGAAGTAGATGATTCAAATGAAGTAGATATGCTATATGACATTAAGTAATGGAACTGGTAATTAAAGAGATTTTATAATTCATCAGATTTTGTTGTTACCAATTCCTAAGTGCAGTGTGTATAAATGTCCACTAGAGGAAGCTAAGTCAACACAGTATGTCTGTTACCATTGCTTCAAAAAGAAATGTTGAACCTATTTGCACTAACTAGACAAACTGCAAATTGCACTAAATAAAAAAATAAATAAATAAAAGATAAATTTCTTTTAAAGCAATTATTAGTTTGGCAATTAGCATTATTATTATTATTTATTTATTTATATTTTTTATAAAACATGGGGTAATCTCATATGGTGAAATGTATAATATTGCAATCATAGTTTTGAAAATATGCCAAGATACACTATTAATCAAGGCTTTATATAATGTTTGTAAAGAGAGCTGATTAAATTCACATTCTGTAACTTTTCACCAGCTTTTCTCCATCACCAGCTTGTCTCCATGGAGTTTAAAGCCATACTGTGGAACATTCTTGATAAAGCTACAGCATCGGCATGGAGACAAGCAGGTGGTGGACCCTCCAACAGAAACAACTTGCATAGTGCTCCTCTACCCACAGAGGTGGGCAGAGGAGTCATAAATTGTACTCAAGTAAGAGTAACATTTCTTTAAATGAATATTATTCTAGTATAAATACAAAGTAGTGCTCCAAGAAGAGTCATTTAAAGTGATTAAACTGAATTTAACTGACTCCTTATGTCTTAGTTTGAAATATAAAAAACATCCCATGAATGTTATATTAACCTTCCAAATGCCATGTTTTTAATGTAAAAAAAAAAAAAAAAAAAAAAAAAAAAAGGTAATAACCAGCTTGACTGCCCTGTTGATACTGTGCAATTTTTAAAAAAAGACAAATAAATATTTTTTCTGGAACTTTATTAAATGTATAAAATCACACAAAATATTACAAAACATTCAAAGTGACTTTTTGTTGTTGTTTTGTTTTGTTGGGTTTTTTTTTTTTTTTTTTTCTTTGTTGCAGTTGGTGAGCATGTGTCACCTCGTATTAAACACGATAATCACATGAAGACAGCTAAGAGCTCAGCAGTAGGTTACGGGGTGTTTGGAATTTCAAGGAGCACACAAACACAGCATTAAATGTGCCTGCATGTCTCAGAGGTGCACTGGCGAAAGTCCTCAGTGTCATCACTGTCCTTCTGAAACATAAACACGCCATCAGGCTCAGTTACACCTCACACCTTATAGAAAGATGGCATGTTTTCCAATCCTCTGTAATTGATAAAATAAAATAAAATTCTTTCTATATGATAGCAGACTGGAGCTGGAAAGATCAATGTTAAAAAATATAACCCAAAACATTTTAAAGAAGACATATTGTGCTTGTGTCTGCCTCTATATAATTATATTCTATGACATTCATGAATCATTATGTTACAATATGGCCTTTTAAAATTGCAATAAAAAAACAACTTTATATAAGAAACAAGTCTGCTAACTTTTGGATAGGAAAATTGGGCCCAGTGGGAACTGATTAATGCCTCTCCAGCAGTTAATAATAACAATAATAATAATAATAATAATAATAATAATAATAATAATACATTTGATTAAGGACACTCAAAGACACTTTTCAGAAAACATATTAAAACAGTCAAAAGAGCAATAAACAAATATAACAGGAAAGGTCGAATCAGTGAATCATTTAGAGAAAAGTTAAACATTAGAAATATTCTAAATAGAGTTAAGCATGTGGGTGAGTTCAGTAATCCATTGTTCAAATCAAAACAACGCTAAGTAGAGAAGTAAACGTAGAGTAGAGTAGAGCCTTAAAATGTACTCAAAGGAAAGTACAACACTTTACTATTACTTTGTTACGCTCCACCACTCCTCTCACCCAACCCACATGTCAGTACTGCACTCACCGATGTACCAGTGTGGGGTATGGAGGTCATTGACATTGATGAGTTAGTTATACAAAAACAATGATAAAAGACCTTAAAGGGATTCTATGTATATCTCTATGTATGCTTCCACAAAGAAAAGTGAGATTGTGTGTTTTTAAGTTTGCAGAGAAAACTGGGAAAGTTGTATAGTGTGCCCCCAGCTTTCAAAATGTTTAGAAGTCATGTGAGTGGCCATCATGCCAAACTGAGGAAGATAATAGGCAAAGAAACAACATTTCCATAGAAACAAGCAGGAGGAGACCCTAACCCATGAGATTCAGGTTTGTGGAGATGGACACATGTTTGTCAGAGCAATAAACACAGCCAAATTGAAAAAAGAAAATGTTAAACATGTATAAAAAGTTACATACTGTGACCAAACTTTGGAGCTTTCACTTAGGTACAGCTGATACATCATCAAGACAATATAGTCATTAAAATATGACTCACCACATCGATGTGAAAGGAATGCAACAGGTCAGTGAGCAGAGCCGCCACAAAGTCAATGAAGAATTAACACTTTATATAATGCAGTGCGATGAGCTGAATACCAGCTCGAATGTCCCCCTACCTTGAAAATCCCAGCTCAATCGTCCCATTCTCTCGGCGAGAACTTCCCCCTTCTCTTAGCGGCACTCGGGTAACTGCTGTGCCCGGGAGAGATTCAGATTCAGAAAACTTTATTGATCCCATAAGGCAATTCATTAGCAGCATCTCAGAGCACACCCAAACACAAACAAACACAAAGTGTGTCAGTCCATTGCCGTCCACCAGTGGAACTCAAAGTAAAAAACAAATTGCAGTGTAAAACTTTCATAAAACTGTACCCTTAGAATTTAATAATTTAATAGCACAGGGCACGAAAGAATTAGAAAACCGGTTGGTTTTCCATATTGGAGCATAAAACCGACGCCCTGAAGGCATGAGGATAAAATCAGGAGCCAGAGGATGGAGGGACTGAGCCAGGAAACACTTGGCTTTGCTCAGCACCTGCTCCTCCCACAAAGAGTGCAGGTCCCTTAGTTTGATCCCTGTGATTTTCAAGCAGGTTTTAACAATATTTTGAAGTTTGTTTTTATCCTTCACAGACAAGGATTCAAACCAGCAAATAAAAGAAAAAGTAAGAAGACTTTCAATAAAAGAGCAATAAAAATTGTTAAGAATCATTTTGTTCACATTAAAAGAGTTCAGTTTCCTCAATAAATATATTCTTTGCTGCCCTCGTTTGACGCTGCTTTCAGTGTTTAGGTCAAATTTTAGTTTATTGTCCATCACGGTGCCTAGATATTTGTAGCTACCAACTATTTCAACATCATCACCGTGGATGACACTAACACTGTGTGAAGGTGCACGTCTAAAATCAATCACCATGTCCTTAGTTTTGGCAACGTTCAAATCCAGGTAGTTTTCCTCACACCACTGGGCAAACTGCTCCAGTGCAGGACCATGATTTCTCTCAGATCCTGAAAGCAGTGACACCAGGACCGAGTCGTCGATTTTCCTCTAAGGATCTGCAGCTGTCCGTGTACAGAATAAAAAGGAGAGGAGACAGTACACAACCCTGAGGTGTTCCAGTGTTGGAGATGGAGGGAGGAGACCATTGCCCATTAACAAAAACATGCTGGACCCTGTTGGTAAGAAAATCAATAAAAGAGGCTGATCTGGGAGATTAAAATCTGAAGCCAGTCTCTGAATCAGAATGTGGGGCTGCATTTTGTTAAAAGCAGAGGAAAAGTCTGCAAATAAAAGTCTCACATGGGCTTTATAAACAATGTTCAGTAAAAACTGTTTTTCATCCTCCACTCCTCTATTAGACTGATATGCAAATTGCATTGGATCCAGTTTTCCTTTAGTTAAAAACAAAATGTGAGTCTTTAAAATCTGTTCAAAAGTTTTCATAACTAGTGATGTGAGCGCCACCGGCCTGAACTCACTCGACTCCTTTGATTTGTTTGATTTGGGGAGAGGTATTACTGTTGATGTCTTCCACAGAGTAGGAATTTGACCAAGATCAGCACACATTTGAAACATTCTAGTAAAAACAGCACTGAGCTGAGTGGCACAGTAGTGCAACGTGCGCCCACAGATGGCATCAGGACCCCTGGCCTTCCCTGTCTTTACTTTCTTAAATAAAGCAGTGACCTGATTCTGTGCACTCACAATTTCCTGCAAAGGTTTCAGAGAGTTTCTGCAGTCACACATCTTTTCCACAACGTCATCTCTTTCAAAACGAGAGAAAAAAGTATTAAAAGCACCTGGCAACTCACCATCAGACACACCCTTTACAGTTATAGGTTTCCTGTCCTCTTTTTGTTGGCTACTGGAGGCCATGTTCTTAATACTTCGCCAAGCTGCTCTAAGGTCCCCACTGCTATACTGGGCTTCAACATTATCCTTGTATTTTAATCTGGCCTTTCTGAGCTCTGCTTTCACTTCCCTAGAAATTGCCTTTTTCTCCAATTGGTCCCCAGAGCAATAGATCACTTTCTTCTTATTTATAGTTAATTTAAGATCTTTTGTTATCCACAGTTTGTTATTTGGATAGATAACAACCTTTTTGGATGGAACAATGGAGTCAACACAAAGGGGGACGTTCTCACACACTCTGATGTATTGAGGTTGAAAATCAGCATTCTATATCATAATAAAATGAAATGTGAATGTAGTGAGACCAAATGTCAGGCCTTGTTTATGTCATTTGAACAACATTCCAGAAGTGGCACACATTTTTTTCAGTCTATAATATCAAGATAATCCTCATTTGCTCGCAGAAGTTTACAGAGAAATCATATTTTAAATATTTTTTTCTTGTTCCCCATGTCCTGTAGCGTCTGTAACTGTTGATTTGGGAAGAAATATGAATTATTTCCTTACCTGCTTGTCATGAACATAATCAATTCATGTCAGGTATCATGTCATGCAACAGGGGATATAAGCAGGGTGATCATCCTTCCCAAATCAGAATACTTGCTTTTGCTCACAAATGTGTTGAGATATACTGTAACTTGCATGTGTAATTAATACAATATATATAGTGACTTTTTTTTTTTTTTTAAATATATAGTATATAGATTAACTAACATAGTTTCATAAAGGGTACAATTCAAGGGGGACTTTCCAGCTGATTTCCAATGAGCCGCACGTCAACCACCTCACCTGCATCGCTCTTGTACGTTGTGCATAAATTTAGGATAATACTTCCTTCACCAACCTTGCATTTAAAGGATTTATGTCTGAGCAGGAGCAGCAAGTTCTACTACTGGCACCTGTTTTATCATCACAGCTAACTAGAGCAGAGTAAAATTCCGCTGCTGCTGAGAAAATAGTCCCTCAACATGCGACGATTCATGGGATACAAGGCTAGTTTTACTTCTAAAATTATTGTATCAACACAGACATGCACACTGGCAGTCTGGTATAATAATAGATTTGCTTTGGGTGTTTTGTGAAGTGGGTAAGACTGTTTTTAGTGGCAGGCTAACTATGGCCATTGACTTACGCTAGCCTAGCACCAGCGACCTCTGCAAATACAAGGACTGGATGGATTATTTCAAAACATGTTTCCACACATCTCCAACACTCTGGCTCACTAGGAAATGAGGTCCTATGTCCAAAATTCCAAACTGTCCCTTTAAAAGCGCAACACAAACCATGCACTATTTCAGATATGACATTTTTAAAGGTGCACTATGTAACTTTACATTGGTACTCACCCAGCACAAAGAGGCTTTCCATGACCAAGTCAGCTGCCAGAGTGGGCCTCACCATCACCTCATGGATCATGAATGACACCTCATACGGGGTGAAGATGGAAATGTAAACAGTTGCAACCATTCAGAAGGAAGTGGGGCCTTGGATGGTCCCCCTCATTCTACACAAAAAACAAAACCATCAGAGGAGAGTGGAGAGGCTAAAAGGTGTGTTGCTTTAAAGTCAGTACACTGAGGCTTAAAGTGGTCTACCTGTGCTCAACCTCCACTCACCTCTCCTCTTTGCTCACCTCTCCTCTGTTCTGCTGTCTCTGCATTTGGCTCTGATCACTGGTTCACCTCCTCTCCTCCTCCTCCTCCTCCTCCTCACGTCTCCAGAAATCCAACCTGTGGAGTTTAAAAACACAGTAGTGCACATGTTGTATTACCATATAACATCACAAGCTGGTGGAGTGTTTTCTGTTTGAGAATAAAACTCATGTGTGTTAAACATGTGTGAATAAAATAAATCGCAGCTCAAGTAGGAAGGAAGGAAGGAAGGAAGAAAACAACGTTATAACACGGATCAGAAAATAGCATAATATGGGCCCTTAAAACCTGGAGCAGGAAATCTCCACTGTGTCCTATTAAAACTAGTGAGTGTGTCTGTATGTGTGTGTATGTGTGTGTGCTGGTGCTGAGTGCATGTGTGTAATCCAAATGGGAGTGTCCTCATAGTCACTCAGTTTAGAATTCTTGCTCCACTAAACTTTAGTCCAGTAAAAGCTCAGCACAGCTAGTTATCTGCTCCTAGCTCCCAGTTTGCAGTATGGACTTCTGGGAATTCTCATGCATATCTCTGGGCGCTGCAGTGGTCCTGTACTATGGAGTAAAACTAATACTTTTCAGCAGGATCCTTTTTCCTAAATTATTTTTTCCTCTGCCAAAGTCTTTTTTCACCTCAATGGGAGAGTGGGCAGGTGAGTACATGGGACACTGAGCAAGCAGTTATACCTCTTAATGACGTTAATAAGTAATAATAAGCTATTTTGGTTTAATATATAATATTTTAACTAATGCTTTACTAAGGTGAAATTGAGATAGCCTACCAGTATTAGTCTGTACTTGAAATTTATATCATAACAGCTGCATCTCTGGCAATGTGAAGAAAAGTTAAGAAGTTTATCTGGTTCATATGTTGTTAGGCCTGAGCACCTATAGGGTGTAGTGATTCTTCAGGTCACTCAAGTGAAAATAGTCCAGAGGTCCGAAGTAGTATTGTGCATGGTGTTGCCATGACAATGTCCCAAACTACCTATGTTTATATATGTTAGCACATCAGCATCTCCAATGTGTGCTGACTTTGTGTGTTTAGTGAAGAGTACAGCCCAAATAAGACATAAATTAACAAATTAAAGCTGCAAGTGGTATTGTGTTATTTAATGGCCAAATTTCCAAATTTTCTTCCATTTCAAATTAATACAACATCGTATTGGTTTTACTGAAGAATGTGAAATTTGGCACAGTGACTCTTCAGGTCATTCCAATCAAAAAAGTCAGGCATTGCCATTGCAGTGCCTGAAATCATCTATGTTTTTCTATATTAGCCTGTCAGCTCTTCCACTGTGTGTGGACTTTTGTCTAAAGTCACAATCGCACAGAGACAAGTTGCGAGTCAGCACCGTCCTGAGGGAGTGGTGGGTTGGCTGAGTATGAAGCACGACCCTTGAGAGCTGTTCGATGCCGCTTGCAGCTTTAATTTGGACATGTTTTCCTTTAGAGTGTTTTCTTACCTAATATGCACAGACAGATTTATATACCTTTGAGGCAAAGGTTTGTGATGCTGACTACTTATGCCTGTTTGTTTGTGTATTCATTTAATTACTTAATATGAAATTGAGTTTAGTTACTATTTGTGGGTGTCATAAAATCTGGCAATATTTCTGTTCAAGTGATTACATGCACATGCAACTGGAATCTGTTGCTGAGCGCTTCATGATAGTCTAAGCTGCAGGCCATACACCAGGTTCTCTGCTGGTCTCAAGAGATGTGGGTTAAATTCCTGGCCTTGAATGTTTTTACCCCCTCTTCACCCCCATTTTCACACTTCATTTTGTCCTGCCCCAATTGGTGGTTTTCAGATCCTAGAATGTGACAGTACTCTACGGGGTTGCAAGGCAGAGAAAGACTTCCCTGTTGAATACATTGTACTTTACCATGAAATATCTAAAAGGTAAACACACAAATCTTTAAGCTGATGAGTTCTATTAACATTAGCTTCGTATATCATAACCATAGATTGTATATATAAATGTTTGTATTAACACGCTCTACATAACCCTGGTGTTTTTATTTAGTTATTTTGTCTAAATTCCTCTCCCTAATGTGGACCTTCAAATTCACATAACTGTTTGCCTCGGGGAACTTCATTTGGCTCGATTTGAATGCCTTTTGTCCACTTCTTTATACAGTCTGTGATCATAACAAAAAACTGCCTTTTAACATTATTCTTAAAGCCCAGCAATGGGAAAAACAAAAACAAAACTATTGCTGAGAATAGATTAGCTCAAAATGCAGGACCACTTGTAAGGGTAGCTGCAGTGGTCAAAGGAAAGCACTCTCTCTATTCATGGCCTGGTGCTGTGTTAACTTGGTGAATATCTATTGACACACTTAATCCCTCGGCCAGTCAAGACTTCACGCTTTTCCTCTATTTAAACAGCCCATATGATGCTATTCTTTTATCTGTGTCATCAAAAAAATACCAGGAGTTGTGTTTTGTTTTTTCACACATATTTAACAAAAACCCTACATATTTACAGTTCTTCTCTCAAACAGAAAAGACTCTGTTCCACCTTAAGATGCTGTGTGGTAATACAGGAAGCTCTCCACTGTGTTTTTAAACTACATACACCTTCACTAGAATCATTTAGATCATTTTCGGCTTTGGAATTGCTTATCTCTACTCAGCAGTGGCAGCTGATCAATAAAGGGTGCAAGTACACCACACTCTCTAACCTAAATAACCTAAATAAAAATGAATAAAGTTGTTATTTTGTAATAGGCTATATGTTTCATATTTTGTTTAAAAGTGAACTTGTATCTGCATAGACATGTTTTAATAATGCTAAATGTGGTCATATCACTGTATTTGATTCATGTGCTTGATCTTTGAGTGAACTGGGCCAGAGCGAACTCAGTGTAGTTCTATAGGAGAGCCTGAAGTTTTGAGAAAATTTTATGTCAAATCCAACGCTTCTGCCCATTACTTTACATTACAGACATGAAGTAGGACTTGGCGGCATAGGTCAGGGCATACTCAGATCAAGTGATTGGTCTTCATAAACACTGATCACACACCTGACCTATTGTGATTCAGACTGGCATAGATTTGATTTATGCAGGCCCACTGACACAATAGGGCTGCTGCAGTTCTCCCAGGAGAGTGCCCCCCTCTGTTCACAGGGTGGTCCTACTTAAGTGAGTTTCATTAAAAGCTCCTACTCTCCCACACTGAGAAAGCACTCGGATCCATCGCCTTTCTTTCCTAAGTCCGCTCTCATTCCATTCCGGCACAGAGGAAAGCAGCCATCAGAACAGTATGTACCAGCCTCAAGAAATCCCACTGTCTCCCTGCATTCTTTCTCTGCACACAAGCTGAATAAGTGCTTTTAATTCAGATCCAAATTAAATTAGCATGGGCAAAAGTGAACAAGAGCCTAGCACCGCCTGGACAGTGGGAAGCTTTTGAGGCATTTTCAAAAACATATTTTTATTGAAGCAAAAGTTAAAAAATACGACGTAGGTTTTGTTCAGAGGATTATGGTCAGAGATTTCATTGTAGAAACTTTTTAGAGATTCAAATGCAAACAAATACTCTTGTATATGTGTATGTATCTGTGTGTGTGTGTAAATATATATGTTTGTGAATATATATGTAGGACCTGACAACAATAACTGTCCTAAAGAAGTAAATTAAAAAAGAATTTTAAAAAAATACAGATGTTTTAATGTGATTTAAAGATCCTATGTTATGCAAATTGACTATATTTATCTTTAATCCATGTTATAATGTTGTGTCCTCATCAAAATCATATCTGAAGTTGTGTTTTTGTTTCATTCATTCATTCACGTTTCAGTAATCCTGGATTATAAAGGTATACTGACAGTTAAAGGACAAAAGTTTCTGGCCTCCACCTTGATATTAAACTGAGAAATACAATGATAGTCAAGAAATTGTGACTAAATTACAGGAAAAGAGGGATTAGCATCATAACCAAACATCTGCCCTTTCTTTTTGTGAAGGAAAACTTTATTAGGGTAGAGCTGTATCTGTCTCGGCATGTCTGGAAGTTCAGATTACATAATTATTCCACTATTAAAGCTATTACAAAGCACCTAAAACATGACTTGTTCACTATAGAAATTATTATGAAACTTTACTGATCCACAAGAGAAACTATTTGGACACAGTAGCTCACACGTCACAATATATTATAATAACTAGGGATGTAATGATATCCAAATCTCACGGTACGATATTATCACGATATACATCTCACCATATTTATTGCGATATTTTGAAGAGGCTGATAATTGTAAGAAATAGATTTTGGTGTGAATTATTACTGTCATAATCCTAAGAATTCAAGTAAAAAACATATTTCTTCATGTTGTCTGCACTGAAATGAATCATGGGAGATGTAGTTCCCGATGTTTATAAACTGTTGCAACTATAAAACTTGTGATTCGATATATTATGACAGCCCAAGATATTATTGTGAGACTTTTGACAATACTATATCATGATATTTCCGTTATTGTCCCTAATAATAAGTAAAATATTTATGGTAATAATAAATTCTAAATAAATAGTTAAAAAAATAGCAAATGACTGTTGAATAAGGCAAAATTTAATGTATAAATAAAAATAAAATGTAGAAAAATAGAAATACAAAAATAGATCTCATATACAAGAGGTCATAAGGAGAAAGTGCAAAAATGAAATTATGACTAACATGACATCAGATTATCTATTACACAAGAGCGAGCTATAGAAAGTTGTATGGAGTATGGGCTAACTTTACTTGTGGTCAACATAGAGGCAGCTTTTATCCACTTTTTTCAATGTATTTGTTCTTAGTTGCATATGAATGCACTACACACTGTGTTAAAGAGTAAGTGTTCTGGTGAAAGGCACACACTGTCATTTCTTGTACTATTAAAAAGTCAATCTCCACTCCTACAGTTATAACAGTTTAACCCAGTTTAACCCCTGGAACACTGTGTAAAATTGCATCAAGACAAGATGAGTCAATTAGATGTTAAAGGGCCCATCTCATGCAAAATCAACTTTTCAGAGCTTTCTACCTTCTAAGAGTGATGACTGGGCCTTGTATATGTAGCCGAAGTGGTTTTTAGATTGATTCGGTGTTTTTTTAACAAATTGCAGCATATTTCTGCCACCCTCCCACATGACAACGAACTGAAGCTGCTACAACGATGACACGGCCAGCTACACCTATGACGCGTTTGATGTAGCAGAAAGTGCTTCGCACCCGCCCCCCACCCACCCACCTCAGTGTATTGTTATACATTGCAGGGTACACGACACAATAAGTTTATCTACTAGCGTTTATTAATACTTTACCAATCAGTAATGTTCACCTGACGCCGACACGGTGCTTGAGCTTCGTGCACCTCCAAGTCCTCATCCGATTCCGGGTCCAACACATGCGGCTGAACGTGCTGTATCGCCATGATGAATAAAAGTTTATTCCTACCGCTATCAGGGTGCACACCTGTCTCCCCCTCCCTCCCTGAGATGGGCGGAGGAGCCTGTGCTTTCTCAAGACAGACAGGGGGATGAGCAATAGCTGGCCTTTCATACTTCATAGTTCATGGTCTGTGACTGCCTCCAAGAACTCAATAAGATCAGTAAGATCAGTAAGATCAGTAAGATCAGTAAGATCAGTAAGATCAGTAAGATCAGTAACTATTGTGTAATGGATGTTCCAAAACCCAAATTGTGCTTGTATATGTGCAGAAGATACAATGATACAACAAAAGAGTTATTTTGCATGAGATGGGCCCTTTAAATGAAGCACAATCCATGCTCAGTCTAAACGAGAGCTGAGGTGCAGGACTTTAGAGATAGTGTTAATATGTAACACTGCTCACTATTCAATGACAGCTGTGCCTATATTAAGATCTATGTTAGAATGTTTCCTCATCAGAAGCATACATGAAGTTTAGTGCATATTTACTGTGCTCTTCTCTCAAAAGGAAAACATTCTGTTGCACCTTGTGATGTTAGAAAACAGGAAGAGCTCTGTGTTTTTAAACTCCATACATTTTCACTAGAATCATTTGGATGATTTCAGATGTGGAATTGTCCATCTTTATTGAACGACAGGTAAGAGCTAGCTGTTAACAGCTACCACTACATGACATCACAAGATGGATTTTGGTGGATCATTTTGAACTTTGGAGATGCTGACTGATAAAGCAGGGTTACGCAAACATGTGTGAGTGAAACAAAACATAACTCCAGCCATGTTTTTGATGAGGCAGCAACATTATAAACTTGACTTAAAGGTCACATGAGTCAATTTTGCATAATATAGGACCTTTAATTGTGTTTCAGTTGTGACTGGTGCCTCAGAGGGGATAGGCAGGGCATATGCATTTGCTGTAAGTATTTAGCAAGATATATATTCATGTTTTTAAGTGCATTATGTAACTTTTCTGGTGAAGTGTCTGCCACCTGCTTATTTTCATGGAGACAGTTCTGTTTTGACTATCAAATTAGGTCAGATCTGAGTCAATCTCACTCACTGTAAGCATGTTTTAAAGTATTTTAACTGAGTAAATACAAATTAAATAAGTAAAATGCTGTACTGTTCCAGGAAAAGGAATAACATCTCCATGAAAACAAGCAGGTGCTGGAATACCCATCGGGAAAGTTACATACTGCACATTTAAATCTGAAATGTTGTTTTCTGTACAGTTGGCAGAGCGAGGGATGAATGTGGTGATCATAAGCAGAACCAAAGAGAAACTGGACATAGTGGCAAAGGAGATTGGTAAGTTTGTGTCTGTATACTGACCTATTGTATGATGTTCCTGAGTGCTGGTTCCCTACAACATGCACTGTTTTAACTTTTGGGCCTCTGCTTTCCGACTTAAAGGTGCATTGTGTAACTTTGCCAGTGGAGGGCCCATCAAATACTATTCTCCATGGAGATGTCATTGCTTTGTCTGGAATGTTGCATAGTACAGTGTTAAACCTTTCTATCTTCATGGGGACCAAATCAGACCAAGTTACAGGTCAGATCTATGGAGAGGCAACACCGCTCACAATCAAAATGTCTTATTTTCTAGGTATTTAACAAACAAACTGTAATTTAAGTAAGATAGAGCTGTTTAATATCATAGTGTGGAACATTCCGGGCAGAGCAATGACATATCCCTGGAAACAAACAAATGACGGACCCTCCATCAGAAAAGTTACACAATGCATCTTTAAATGCATAATAACTATATTGACTTATTTGTTGCAGTTAAGGCCTTTTAATGATAGTCTATTTACAAATTGGTTTACTGGGCCTTCTCTTATTTTTGCACTGGATTATCACAATAAAATGGACAGAAGTATTTATTCTCATAAAAAGATAGGACATAGAACTGTGATGAAAATTTATATTGTGGAAAGATTTCTCTCAATCTGTCTTTGTGTGAATGAATGTGATTTCTATCTGAGACCAGACCTGTGTAAAGACTCAGCACTGTCCCCACCCTACAGGAGGCTCTGTGTTGTCTTAGCTGTCCTCAAATGTATTTTAATTTAGCACAGCTTCTGAAACAAGTGTCACTCTACTTTGATATGTATGTAACTTGTATTTCTGTATAAATACTCAGAGCTCAAATGCTCCTTATAAAGATAAAAGTAAGTCTGTGGAGAGGAGAGTCTGCTCTGCTACTACTGATTAAAAAAAGAACTGCAATGTAATACATGCCTATATTTTAACCTATGTTTGGGCTGTCCTGCAACAGGAATCAGAAATTAAAAATAACTTACACATACTTGAGTAAATGCAGCTTTAGAAGTGTAGATTTACCATCAAGCAATCCTTATGCAGCACATTTGTCATAGAATGTTCCTATGCAAGGACAAATTGATTCTACATTTAATCAACAAAATAACTATAACTTCTACTCATACTTCTGTACAGCTAAAACCACTGGCCGGAAAGTCAAAGTTCTCGTGGCCGACTTTACCAAAGCTGATGCTGTTAATTGCATTGAGGATGAACTAAAGGACATGAACATTGGAGTTTTGGGTGAGACATTTTCCAATCCAAAAAAATTCAAATAAAACAAACCTACACCCTATAATGCAACTCTTTTTAGTGAATAATGTGGCTATATTGACAAATCCAGCACCAACGAAGTTCTTGGCATCTAAAAATCTTTACCAGGTATCTGAAAACTATGCAATTAAAGGGGCACGATGTAACATTTCTGTAGGAGGGTATGCTACATATCTGTCTCCATGGAGACACTATTGCTTTGCCTAGAATCTTCCACAGATAAACATTTATCTTCACAAACACAACCAGTTTATGCTCCCAGGTCATGTTACAGGTCAGATTTGTTCAGTAAGAATGCATGTTTTATAAAGTATTTTGGGGCAATAAAAACTCCTCTAACTGATTAAATGTAAGCTACGTGATACTGTATCTTGTAGATTCTAGGTTATGGTGAGGAGGTGATATAGTCAGGCTGGCGCCACTTAGTGCCTCCACTCAGTTTCATTTCTCTCCAGCAACTAGGTCAGGAATCAAAATACAATAGACGGTTCGCAAAACCCCTGAAATGCAAGTTCAGGCACCAGCCAATCAGCGATGTGATATGTGATATATTCAGTGTTGTTAATGTTTCCTGAGATCGAGGATTTAAAGTCGGAACAAAGAGAATGTTTGGTGAATTTTATCAAGGGGAAAGACGTTATTGTCCTTCTTCTTATAGGATTTGGGAAAAGCTTTATATACCAGTTAGCCCTGTTAGTGGCGCATTATGTACGTGACTGCCAAACAGCAGTGATTGGTTACATGATAAAAAATTGCCTTCCTACTGTTGAGCGAACAAAATCTAAGGCTAAGGCTGCAAGGTCAGACGGTTTGTATGAAGTGAAACGAAGTAAAACGGGCTGATGAATCAGGCCAGACCTAGCACCAGAAAAGTTACATAATGCCCCTTTAATGAGTTTTAAATAAAATCAAGCTGACTTAAAAACGGTCTTTTTTATATTTTAGGACATTTTCAATACGATTACTTGTAATGTGAAGACTATGGCTAAGGTAAGACACAAAAGTTATTTTCTGATCTATGTTATACAGTTGTTTCCTCATCAAAGTCATACCTGGAGTTGGAATTTTGTTTCATTCCCACATGTTTAACACACAAATCTTGCACATACTTTTCATGTGGTAATACAGAAAATGTGCCACTCCATACACCTTCACTAGAAAAATTTGGATAATTTCAGCCCTCTAATTTCCAATCTGTACTACTGAACTTTATGTATGTTTATTTATGAAGATGTAGACAAACTAATAAAGTCCAAGTTTGTTTTTGGGGTTGTAACAACATTACATAATGGATTAAAGTTCACAAGAGTAAATTTTCTGTAATTTAGGACCTACAAATACATTCTTATTGCACATTTATTTTATGATTATTTTCTTCCAGATGTGCAAAGTAATTTTACCTGGAATGGTGGACCGGTTGGTAAATTAATTTATTCATTCATTAAATATACACTACCAATCAAAAGTTTGGACACACCATCTCATAAAGATACATACAGGAGAAGTCAAGTATATGTAGTAAGATATAAGGAATTATTAAAGAGAAAAAGTTAAATAGTGTTGTTTTTATTTTCTTTGCTACAGAAATCCATCTATCTAACTTCATATATTTGATGTTTTCTGTATGTGTATAAAATGTAAAAAGTGGTAAAAAAATAACAAGAATGAGAGGGTGTGATCAAACTTTTGCCTGGTCATGTATGTCTCTGTGAGTGTCTCTAATGTTGCGTGTGCTTTGTGTGTGACCAGGGGAAAAGGAGTTATAATCAACATCTCATCAGGCGTGACTTGTGTCCCTCTTCCTCTCTATGTCTTGTATTCAGGAACTAAGGTTTGAAAATAATTATAATTCCATTACAATTGTGTTTAGTGTCTCATTTTATTTGCACTTCGGCAGATCTTTGTTGAAAGGTTTTCTCAAGCTCTTCAAATCGAATACAAAGACAAAGGAATCATTATACAGGTAATTCTGCCAATGTGTCTGCTTGCACTGAATAAAGAATGATTATATTGTTGTATTGATACATTGCAGCTTATGTCATCAACATGTGATGCTAACTGTAGGCTCTGCTCTGTCTAAGACCTTTTTAGACTTTAATCTGAGCTTTATTTTAACACTGTCTGACTATAAAGAACTGATTGAGCTGGAACTACTAAACGTGAGCTGATTTGTGCTGTTAAACAAGTCTCTCTCAAACATGGATCTATAAAAAGAACTGATAAAGACACCCCCCCTCTGTCCGCGGGCGAGATCAACTAGTGGCCGCTTCCCGGAGCTCCAGTCCACAAACAATTCTCCCATAGATTGCAGAATGCATTATTGTGAAATCAAACTGCCTGTCTTTAGCTGACAGGGCATCAACAGCTTTCATAAAGGTCAGATTTTGTAGGGATTCTTTTGTATTTTTACAAAAAAATGTTTTAGTTGTCAATGAGACGTCACATGTTTTGCAGCGTAAGGCCAGTATTCAGGAATGAACACAGACCATTGGAAACAACAAGATGCTATTTAGTACACTTTTCAGATTTTATAAAAATGTTATGCTCTTAAATACCATCACAGTCACAAGCTAGTATTACCCAACAGTTTTTCAGATAGTCACTTTCACCGTTCAAACACCTAAAACACTTAAAAAGGATCATGTTCACTCGTATTGGTCACAGGCTCCTGAAAATGTGCTGTTTAAAAAAAAAAATGTATTTTTTCTTGAGTTTTCAGATGATCTTACAACTATTTTGACAATTATTTTGACATACTAATGTGTTCATAAAGATGAAAGATTTAAGTCTAACATGCCTCAGACAGAGCATGCCTACAGTTAGCATCACACCCCCTGGGAATGTTGACCACATCAGATGCAAATTATCAATAGGTAGAGAAATATTAGAAGTACTACTATATCCTACCAAACCAAGTCATAATTAGATAAATTAAAATCTGTAATATGCACTTTAAATGGATAGCATAATTAAAATCTGTAGTTTGGGACTATGACTTATTACTAACTATATTACCAAGTGTCTCATTAAAGGTGCACAATGTAACTTTCCTGGAGCAGAACCTTGCCACTCCTGTAATGGGGTCCTGTCCTTCGCTTGCACTGTGTTTGTTTTCACAATCAGAACACAACGCACAGCCAAACGCAATATTTACGCAGCAGTTCAACTAACACAAACACACAAACACACAGCACCAGCGGCATTCCAACAAAGCACATGGGAAAACACCGGAGCAGCTCAGTCACACCCACAAGCTCATTTATGCACTATTTAACTATTAACACTATAAGACTATTTACCAGTGAGGCTCCATCCGCAGATTTGCCCAAAACTATCGAAAACAAGCATCTTACCTTCACCAGAGGACTGAAGCAGAGTGTGTTATCCACTGTCCTGTTGGTTCTGTCTCCAAAAATATATAATTGTCTAAAATGGAAAGATGAAACTGGTCCAAGTCTCGGTCCAGTCAGATCGGCAATGAAGGATCCAGGAGCCCAGTGCACCAGCTGGTCATAAGACTGGTCTTAATCTTATCTCTGACTTAAATCTGAAAGGGCCCTGGGGTTGTCTCTATGTGCCTGCTGCTCTGATGAGTGGGGCTGTAGTGTCTGTTCCTCACACTCTCCCATGTGGATGTTTAGGCAAAAGTAAATAGCCGCCATTAACCAGTAAGAAAAATAAGAGTAGGACGATATACACTGCAGCCAAATGCACTCACTCCAGCTTAATGCTTCTTTTCTTGCTTGGCAGAAGGGTCGCACTGAAGAGAAGACACATAATTCTCCCTAAAAACGGTTCCTCGGACGCACTTTGAATTGAAATTGAAGATGCCATAACTCTGCTGTATAGCACATACCTCTGTTGTTATCCTTTCATGAGCCTATAGCAGTAGGCAAGGCAAGGCAAGTTTATTTGTATAGCACAATTCGTACACAAAGTAATTCAAAGTGCTTTACAGAATAAGAAATACATTAAAATCACAATAAAAACAAATCAAAACATAAATATTCATAAAGATTAAAATAAAAAAAGAGAGACATAAATTAGAGAGAAGAGTGCAGAATGAGAACCTTCCAGTCATATGCACAGTCAAACAGAACCGTTTTGAGCGTGGATTTAAACAGCGTCAAAGAAGAGGCCTGTCTCACATGTTCAGGAAGACTGTTCCAGGTTTTAGCTGCGTGAACCTGAAACGCTGACTCCCCTTGTTTAGTCCTGACTCTGGGCACCAGTAGGAGGCTGGTCCCTGAGGTTCGCAGAGTGCGAGATGGTTCATATGGCACTAACATGTCAGAGATGCAATGTAATGTAGTAAAATACCTCCAGAGGAGAATTGGGGCTGGGAGAGAGAGAGTTAACTATCTGAATCACAATAGGTCAGGTGTGTGATAAACATTTATGAAGTTTATGAGTTTATGAGTTTATGAGTTCGGCCAGATCTGCGCCCCAAAGACATACTTCAGTGCTGTAATGATTGTAACAGACTCGGGGGTGTAATGAAAAGTAAAATAGTGGGCAAAAGCACCAGAATTGACGTTAAATTTTCTCAAAACTACTAGCAACATGAATCAAATAAAGCAAAATGAAAACATTTAACATGATAAAAATGTGTCTATGCAGATACACATTCACTTTTAAACAAAATATGAGAAAATAGTTCACAAAGCAATAGCATCTTCATAGAGACAAGCATACAGAGGGCCTACCACCAGAAAAGTTACGCAATGTGCCTTTAAAGATGCACTATGTCTGTCATCTACATGTCACTGCTCTGCCTGGAATATTCCACACTCTGACTTTAAACAGCTCTACCTTGCATTTATTGAATTATAGGTGGTTTTATTGTTCAAAAATATATGCTGACCGTGAGCAGGGTTGCCTCGCCACAGATCTGACCTTTAACCTGGCCTAGTTTGGTCTCCATGAAGATACAAAGGTTTAATGCCATACTGTGAAACATTCCAGACAAAGCAATAACATCTCAATGGGGAAAAGCATTTCACGGACTCTCCATCAGAAAAGTTACACATTGCATGAAGCATTAAAATAAACCTTACTTGTCTGACTGTTCTTGAGGTTGTTGCTCCGTTCAGCGTCTCCACACGAATGAGTTACTATCAGAAGACCAACTGTTTTGTCCTGAGTCCTGAGGGCTTTGTGAACACATCTCTGCAGTACCTCCGAGCTGGAGAGAGAATAAATGGAACCATTCTCCACACACTGGTGGTAAGACTGAGGTTCTAATGGTCCTATATCATGCAAAATTGACTCGTGAGCTTTAAGCCATGTCAGAATGTTGCTATCTCACTAAAAACATAGCTGAGGTTGTGTTTTGTTTCATTCACACATGTTTGAGCAATTCCGTATTATTAGTCTGTCTGCATCAACAAACCTCAAAATGTTCTAGTCCACCTTCTGATGTCATGTAGTAGTTTTCAAGTTAACAGTTTCCTTTTAACTTTAATTCAGTAGAGATTGGCCCAGAGATTGATCACCCAGATGATTCTTGTGAAGGTGTACGGAGTTTTAAAAACATAGTGTTTAAACTCCTTTATCACCACATGACATCAGAGGATGGAACAGAGTGTTTTCTATGTGTGAGAAGAACTCAAGCTATATGCAAGTTTTGTCTGTTAAAAATGTGAATGAAATAAAAAACAACATAAGATAAAAAATAGCCAAATATAAGACGATTTAAATGATCAATCTCCATGGAGACAAGAGAGATGCCAGCGATGGTTTTATGTCTGACAATATTTCGTGGACAGGGGGGCTCTTTTCAGCACAATATTTTCACAGACTGGCGGCGTGTGGGAGATAGTTTAGTCCCGGTTTAGTCCTGGTTTAGTCCCGATTTAGTCCCGGTTTAGTCCTGGTTTAGACCTGGTTAATCCTGGTTTAGTCCCGGTTTAGTCCCGGTTTAGTCCCTGGTTTAGTCCTGGTTTAGTCCTGGTTTAGTCCTGGTTTAGTCCCGGTTTAGTCCCGGTTTAGTCCTGGTTTAGTCCTGGTTTAGTCCCGGTTTAGACCTGGTTTAGTCCTGGTTAAATCCTAGTTTAGCCCTGGTTTAGTCCTGGTTTAGTCCCGGTTTAGACCTGGTTTAGTCCTGGTTAAATCCTGGTTAAATTCTGGTTTAGTCCTGGTTTAGTCCCGGTTTAGTCCCGGTTTAGACCTGGTTTTGGTCCTGGTTAAATCCTGGTTTAGTCCTGGTTTAGTCCCAGTTTAGTCCTGGTTTAGACCTGGTTTAGTCCTGGTTAAATCCTGGTTTAGTCCTGGTTTAGTCCTGGTTTAGTCCCAGTTTAGTCCTGGTTTAGACCTGGTTTAGTCCTGGTTTAGTCCCGATTTAGTCCTGGTTTAGATCTGGTTTTAGAACTTATTTTAGTCCTGGTATAGAACTGATTTTAGTTTTAGTTTAGAACTGATTTTAGTCTTGGTTTAATCCTGGTTTTAGTTCTGGTTTAGTTCTGGTTTTTAGATCTGGTTTAGATCTGGGGTAGATCTGGTCTAGACCTGGTTTAGTACTGATTTTAGTCCTGGTTTAGTCCTGTTTTAGACCTGGTTTTGGTTCTGGCTTAGAGGCACAGGAAATAAGGGAGGAGGCACAGTCCACGTGGCGTATGGGAGAGAAAGATTCACAATTTCCAGGCAAAGCAGTAGCATCTCGATGGAGACAGGCAGGTCCAGTAAAGTTATGTAGCTCCTTTAAGGGATAAATAAAATAAAAACATATCGAAGTTGCGCCCAAATTGTGTCAAGTCTAGAAGTCTAGTTTCAAATTCTGTTTTTGTGAAATGACAACCATAAACCGTGTGCACAGTATTTGTATGATTATGAGGGTTGTTAAAAGTATCCAAAATCAGATACTAGTCAATACAAAAAATAATATCGAAACTAGAAACTAATTTGAGCAGGTATCGATACTAAAAAACACTTTCACAGGACAGAAATTTAACTTTGCTGAATAGGCTTAATAATCTGGAGCTGTATCAGAACAAGTGTAAGAGCTCATAGACCAGTGGAAATTATTAAATTAAATTAAATCATTCATTCATATCATTGTGTTATTGGAATCGGTATCACGTCTATTCCTTAGTATCAAAATCAAGTTTGAAATTTTGTATCGTGACAATAGTATATGTATTATATAAATGTGATATATGATTGTATTTGTAAGTGATATGTGTTTTGAATTACAGGACTGGTTCATGCGGATTGTTCCTCACAACATGCTCACTAGTGATTCCATGCAAACAAATCTCGAAGAATACGTAAACAAATTTGTTCAAACACAAAATTTACAATAAAAACATTCTATGTAATTTTTTTTTTTTTTTTTTTGCAATTTATTGTGCCTTATGTATTTTATCCTCTTAATTTGTTTAGTTTGTACTTTCTCAATGTGACTACTATGATAGAAATAAACATGCTTTTGTACAGGATCTGTTTTGGCACATAGGATAACATTAAAAGTGCACATAGACTAGACTGCTAATTTCATTTAAAAAAAACATTGTGTAAGCTTTACTACTTTTGCGATTTTTGTTAAGTTTATCATTTTACAATTTTACTTCCTGACATGAGCCGCAGATATGACATGCGTAAACTTAATTCTGTAACTGTTACCTAGCAACCATAATGTTAACAAGGGCAAATTGACAAATAAAAATGAATGACAACATCTTTATTTTGTTATATTGTTGTTTAATCTGTCAAAAGAATGCCTTCCTTGTGTGTAAATTGTCTCTTTTGATGACAGATCACAGCTACTTCCTGTTTGTTCCAAGTTTTTGTTATTAAACTTTTTCTTCACAAACCAAGCCAAGTCATAACTAGGAAAATATATTCATCTGTTAAACAATAAAGGGCCCATATTACAGTTTTTAAATACATTTTATAATGTGGTGACCTCATAAAAAACATACCTGGAGTTGTGTTTTGTTTAATTCACACATGTTAATACACAAACCCAGCATATTTGGGTTTGTCTCTCAAACTGAAGACACTGTTCTACTTTGTGATGCCATGTGGTAATAGAGATAGTGTGCTCCACTGTGTTTTTAAACTCCATACACCTTCACTAGAATCATTTGGACAGTTTCAGTTCTGGTATTGCCAATGTCTACTGAACAAAAGGTCAAAATGTTAACTTGAAAACTACTGCTTCATGACATCACAAGGTGGAACAGATCATTTTGAGCTTCGGAGATATCAGAGGTGGGACCAAGTCATTGTTTTGCAAGTCTCAAGTAAGTCTCAAGTCTTTAATCTCAAGTCCAAGTAGAGTCCCAAGTCAAATACAGGCAAGTCCAAGTCGAGTCTCAAGTCACTGTTCCATAAGTCCAAATCAGGTCCAAGTTGTCTGCTTTGAGATTCAAGTCATTTCAAGTCACTTAGATTTTTGCAATTTATATGAATTTTAAATTGAATTATTCTTTTAAAAGTCATAGTATATTTATATTTGAGTATTTATAGCGTATATAAGAGTTGTAGAAATGTAAATGTTTCCTTTTTAAATGTCTTGACAAGATCTTAGTGTGAATCATTACAGTTGGAACAGAAAGAATTCAGATTTAAAAGTGCTTCTCAAGTCTTCTCAAGTCACAGGCCTCAAGTCCATGTCAAGTCCAAAGTCACTGACCTTCAAGTCCAAGTCAAATCCCAAGTCTTACTCCATTTTATCAAGTCAAGTCTCAAGTCCTAATAATAGTAACTCAAGTCTGACTTGAGTCCAACTACAGTATAACTCCACAACTTGCAAGTCCTGACCTCTGGGAGATATACACAGACTAATAATGCAGGATTACTCAAACATGTGTGAATAAAACAAAACACAACTCTGGGTAAGTTTTTAAGGAGATAACATTATAGCATGGCTTAAAGAATTAATTTTATATAAAAGATTTAAGATACCGTATTTAAAGTTGTGTTAAGTGAATAATATACTAAACATTTCTGTTGCTGCTTTTTGTGACTCCACCTTCTGTTTTTCAGTTTTGCAAATCTGGCTGGTTTTGGTGATCTTGTTTTTGGTGGGGCTTTTTCCTTCCATTGTGCTGGAGGAGTGACCCTTGGCTGTGTTATTTATCTTGGCTCTGAATCCTTTTGTTCTAACCAGAAGAACACGCTGAAATCTAACCAAACCAGGATGTTTTTTTTTTTAAGGCAACAACATTGCTAGACAAGAGCATAGACTATTACATGAATGTCTATGGACAAAAAGACATCTGTAAGAATAAACCTAAGTCAATAATTACATGAATTTTAGAACATGATAGAGTTAACAGGTTTTAAGACCCCACTGAGAAGGTATGTTTTAATCTCCAGAGAGAACATACATCAGCCAAAAACTACAGCAATTCCCTTTTTTTTTTTCTTCTGTTATTAATAAGTAATTTCAAGTTTACTCACATGATACTCTGTACAGTTGTGAACACTTCCTAAATTATATGAAGAGAATTACAAGTTCACAAAATTGCTGTGTTAATTTTCTGGCTCAAAGTCCTTGTTACAGCCTCCTTTGGTATTTTAATAAATATTGTATGTGTGGCTCAACTTTCCTGTCTCCACATGGGACCTTTGCTGTGTGAGCTCTTGCACCTGATTGGAGGACTGTGTGCATGTGTCTGATTGGAGGACTGCGTGCATGTGTCTGATTGGAGGACTGCGTGCATGTGTATGACTGGAGGACTGCGTGCATGTGTCTGATTGGAGGACTGTGTGCATGGTCTGATTGGAGGACTGTGTGCATGTGCTGATTGGAGGACTGTGTGCATGTGTCTGATTGGAGGACTGCGTGCATGTGTCTGATTGGAGGACTGCGTGCATGTGTATGACTGGAGGACTGCGTGCATGTGTCTGATTGGAGGACTGCGTGCATGTGTATGACTGGAGGACTGCGTGCATGTGCCAGATTGGAGGACTGTGTGCATGGGTCTGATTGGAGGACTGTGTGCATGTGCCAGATTGGAGGACTGTGTGCATGTGTCTGACTGGAGGACTGTGTGCATGTGTCTGACTGGAGGACTGCGTGCATGTGTCTGATTGGAGGACTGTGTGCATGTGCCTGACTGGAGGACTGCGTGCATGTGTCTGATTGGAGGACTGCGTGCATGTGCCAGATTGGAGGACTGCGTGCATGTGCCAGATTGGAGGACTGCGTGCATGTGTCTGATTGGAGGACTGTGTGCATTGGTCTGATTGGAGGACTGTGTGCATGGGTCTGATTGGACGACTGTGTGCATGTGTCTGATTGGAGGACTGTGTGCATTGGTCTGATTGGACGACTGTGCATTGATCTGACTGGACGACTGTGTGCGTGTGTCTGACTGGACGACTGTGTGCATGTGCCTGATTGGAGGACTGCGTGCATGGGTCTGATTGGAAAACTGCGTGCATGTGCCTGACTGGAGGACTGCGTGCATGTGTCTGATTGGAGGACTGCGTGCATATGTCTGATTGGAGGACTGTGTGCATGGGTCTGATTGGACGACTGTGTGCATGTGCATGTGCCTGATTGGAGGACTGCGTGCATAGGTCTGATTGGAAGACTGTGCATTGTCTGACTGGACGACTGTGTGTGTGTGTCTGACTGGATGACTGTGTGCATGTGCCTGATTGGAGGACTGCGTGCATGGGTCTGATTGGAGGACTGCGTGCATGTGCCAGATTGGAGGACTGTGTGCATTGGTCTGATTGGAGGACTGTGTGCATGGGTCTGATTGGACGACTGTGTGCATGTGCCTGATTGGAGGACTGCGTGCATAGGTCTGATTGGAAGACTGTGCATTGGTCTGACTGGACGACTGTGTGTGTGTGTCTGACTGGATGACTGTGTGCATGTGCCTGATTGGAAAACTGCGTGCATGTGTCTGACTGGAGGACTGCGTGCATGGGTCTGATTGGAAGACTGTGCATTGGTCTGACTGGACGACTGTGTGCATGTGCCTGATTGGAGGACTGCGTGCATGGGTCTGATTGGGGGACTGCGTTCATTGGTCTAATTAGAGGACTGCGTGCAGGGGTCTGATTAGAGGACTGCGTGCAGGGGTCTGATTGGAGGACTGCGTGCATGTGCCTGATTGGAGGACTGCGTGCATGAGTCTGATTGGAGGACTGCGTGCATGAGTCTGATTGGAAGACTGCGTGCATTGGTCTGATTGGAGGACTGCGTGCATGGGTCTGATTGGAGGACGTAGATGTGATGTAGAAATTTGGAGCAGATTTCCCTTTGCTTATCAGTGATGAGATATTTGTGAGGTAATGTCCAAACATTTTTCCATGGAATATTGTCAGTAGAGTTCAGCTGTTCACAGTGCACAAGTAGGACTCAGTTTGGGAGGTGCACTTGTGGCGATAGTTGCTCTTTTCCCCCTGCAACTCATTATAAGTCAAGTTTAATTGAAGATGAAGCCAAATAAGTTCCTTCTGAAAAGTTTTTAAAAGTTTGGTGCGCAGCATCTTCACTCACACCTGCTCAAGCCACCATCTTCGGGTGCTGTCCTTGTCCTGCCGCTTCCCCAGTTTCTGTTAAGGAATCACTGGTCGGACCCAAATATGCAGAGGGAAACAAAAGTATTAACAAAAATAGTTGTGGACAGGGGGATAGATTCCAGGGGAGGTAGGACTGGTCCAGGTTGGCTGAAGTGCAAAGGTGAAGAGGCTGACCAGAGGCTTGCGGAACAGGTGGTAACAGGATGAGGCTGGCTCCAAAACGGTTGAACTGGGGAACGGACAAAAGTAAACAGGTAAGAGTCAAAAACCTTCCAAAATGCTCAAAAACACAAAAACCTGAGTAGTTCACCACTTGGTTGACAGAACGATCTGGCACTGGAGAGCAGGTCAGCAGGTCTTTTATTGCTGGAGATGATTAGTTGACGAGGATCAGGAGTGGAGCTCAGCAGGTGAGTGATTGGGGTCCGCCCAGGAAAAACAAAATAGGGTAAGGAGAGAAGGCGCAGGGAAGGGAGAGGTAGGAGGGGCAGGATGAAATCCTCACAGTTTCGGCTCCTGGCTCCACTAATGACATCACTCTGTTGCAGCCAATGAAATAGTGGCAGTGGTAACCTTGTTTTCATATCACTGAATACATCTCAGAACGTCTAATAAACAAAATGTGAAATAAAACGTGCTAAATTAATACTATCAGTTTGGAAAAATATTGGAATAAATTTATATTTTTGTTTATTCAAATGAAATGGCAAATATTGGTAGTGACTATTTTGTTTTCCAGAAATATTGGTTGTGATATGTCCCCACCGTTCTTATGCAAACCTACGCCCTGGCCCTGGTTGGTGCATTGAGTTCTCTACTGGCCAATCCTGTCCTTCCACCTGCAGTGCCTCCCTTACTTAAAGACGCACAACTTTTCTGATGGAGGGTTGGCTACCTGCTTGTCTCCTTGGAAACTGTATTGACTTGTCTAGAAGGTTCCACAGTATAGATTAAACCTATCTATCCTGAGGGAGACAAGCAGGTTACAGCACTAATTCATTACAGTTCAGATCTGTGGAGAGTCTCCCCTATTAACAGAAGGAATTATTGTATGTTTGAGCAATAGAAACACACGTAATGAATGAATGTTAGAGGCCGGGCCTGGTTATTACTTGAATGGGAGACTGCTGGGAAAATCAGATGCCACAGGGGGGCGCCAGTCGCAAAAACTGTTGTTATG